ATTTGATTCGATCCGTTATTCGTTTCGATTCGATCCGAAAATTCCGGATATCCGTAAACTTTCGAATCAAAGCAAATACTAAAATTCAATATCCGTTAAAATCGAAGCAAATCACAAATATTAAAATTTTGGAAAGCGGATATCCGATCCGATCCGTAAATATATAAATATATGTATATTTTGATTATATTTAAAATTTAATTGTATAAAATTATATAATTATTAATTAAGCACATGATTTTGAACAATTCTATTCAAATTATTACTTATATAAAAGTATTACATAAAAAGAGATAAAATATTTTTGACAATTATATTTTTTTCTTAAATTTTGTGTTATTATAATTGTAACTTAAACTTTAAAAAATTACAAAATCTGTAAATTTACTAGTTCTTTTAAGTTTTATTTTATATATCATGCAAAAAAATATTTTTACAAACCAAATTTGTATCAAAATCTTAAGATTATTTGTACTAATTAAAATGGATGAGATATCCGTAAATATTCGTAAATATCTGCAAATATCTATTTATTTTCCGGATATCCGTTTTTTCGGATATCCGTATTTTTTCGAAGCAAAGCAAATACCAAAATTAGATATCCGTAACATTCGAAACAAATCACAAATACCTTAAAAAACCCGGATATCCGATCCATGCCCACCCCTACTTGTGACAAACCACTGCATATTTACTCAACCTTTATACGCCACACACAAGAGGACCAGGCTTACAACTCGCTAGTACACAGCAGTTGCAACGACACCAAAAAGATTCTTGCTAGAGAGCCTAATAAAAAAATTGACAACACTTTGTTATAAAGTAAATATTGATTTTATGTTTGCTGAGGTTATCTCAACAATGATGATGTCCTAATGATTCAAAGTGATATAACAAAATTAGATTTTCTTACATACCCAAAAGAAGAAGAAGAACAACAAAAACGACTGGTCATACATTTATTACAAGAACTTCAATTTATATAACTTCCAAAATGAAAAAAAAAATATTAAAACCCTAATAGTAACATAAGATAATGACTTATCATAATCAAATCATAAGACAAGTACGTACTTAATAATAAATCATATGTTATTACCGGACACATCAACATTGTTAACGTTGTTACTCTTATCGGTGTCGTTGCCTTCGAGGTTAATGTTGTTGTTGCTAGTGTTCTTATTGGAGAAATGGAGCTTGTTGTTGTGCATCCAAACCTTAAGCACTCTTCTCTTCACTCCAATCTCTTCACAAAATCTCTGAACAACGCAATCTTCTTGCCTTTGTATCTTCCACCCAACTTTCTCAGCAAAACTCAGCATCTTCTCTTTCTGCTCCGGCGTGAACTTCGTCCTAAACCTCTTCTTCTGGTTGTGTCTAGACGCGGTGGTCACGCCGTCTTGTTCCATAAAGTCATCAGACTCCAAGTTATGCATGTACCGATAGTTAGAAACTCCTACAGGCATGATCATTTGGTGAGGCATGGCTGATCTGATAGTGTGGTGGTTGACCATGAGTTTTCGCGGTGGAGGCGGTTGGTGGTAAGTGGAAATGGCGGTGGCGTTGGTTTCACCTTCGACTTCTTTTCTATGGAAATTTCTATGGCAGTTGCAAGCTGAGCAAGTGAGAGCTTCAATGGAGCCATCTTCACCACTTGGCATAAACTCTCCACACCCATCAGTGGCATTGCCTCCCATTGCTGCTGCATGGTTCTTGAGACATTCCTTGTACTTTATCATAGGCTTCTTGATGATTGCGTTGTAACCAACATGATGAGGATCTTGATGATGATTGTTGCCATGACCATTACCATGTAAAGGCATTTGTGGTGGATGAGTAGTAGAAATGTTGTTGTTGTTGTGAGTTGAAGGAGCAGAATCAGCAGCATGATGATCATGATGATGGAGGATCATGTGACCATGACCACCACCACCAACATATGTAGTGTTTAATGGGATAGGCATATCATGATCTTGACTTGCGTTTTCCATTTTTTTTAGCTCCTGTACAAAAAGTGTTGCAAGCTGTCTGTTGGTTTGGGGATATAGGCCCTAGAGAAGGAATAAACAAGACAATTATTGGAGAAGACTAATTAGTATGATTATGAACTATCAACAGTGGATAATACTTCTTTGAAATAAATCTTAAGGATTTTTCTTGGAAAATGACCACTTTTTATAAATAACTCATGGACACTTTAAATGATTTACTGAAAAATAACCCAAAGTTTAGAAAGTCCCAAATTAAAGAACAAAACAGAAGAATAGCCCTGAAAGGGAAGATAAGAACTCTTATTGCAAGCGTGCTCGATAAAAAGCTGACAAACGCACTTCAAAACAATCTTCTACTTCAATGCAAGTGAGATTTATGGTGGTCAAATTTTAAAACAAGAAATTGATCATAAAAAAGCTGTTAAATAGAGAGGAGGAAATGTAAAGACTGGCTATGAAAGAAAACTGAGTGAAGTTGTTGATGATTGAAGGGAAGAAGAACACATACCCACACAACTGAAACTAGACTTTGATCTTAATATGCTTCAAAAGGTCAGAACATTTTTAGATATAGTCAGCATCAGCCTAGGGAAGATTAGATATTTAGGGTCTTGTAATGAAAGACTGAAGGAAGAGAGGAGACAAATATTTGCATTTGGGTTTTGGATGTGAAGGCGATGTCTTAAACTAAGAAGACTTAGGGCTATTAATAGTGGAAGCCTCAAGACTAATAAAGCAAGTGGAAGAAAAATCAAACTATATTTTTTTTTTGGTAAAAATCAAACTATATTTATTTTCCAAATACCAAACATTTTCACTCTCTCCTTCCCTCCCGTTTTTTTTTCTGGGTGCAAATGTCAAAACATCTCTCCCGTCTTTCTTTACATTTAATTATGGTACTTTTGCTACTATTTTATACTAGTTACACTTAAAATAAGTTCAATCATGGTGTATTTGAGAATCTTTCATAAGCTATAGTGACCTAACTATTTTTATGTAGAATAAATAATTAAAATACCCTGAAACAAATATTGTCCAGAGCAGGGGGGAAACGGAGAAAATTAAAGGTCATGGCATTGGCATGGGTGATTGCTTTGCTTGCACTATCAGACATCAAATTTACACAATTTAGAGAGATAAAATGTGTCAGAGAGTGGTGGGGAGAGTACTGAAGCAGTGAGATAAGCATAAAAGTAACAGTAAATCAAATAAGTTATCTTTCATGAACAAACAAATATTGCTGCTTACAAAAAAAAAACAAAAAAGTTTTTTTTTAAACAGTACACGAACAGATAAACTATAATGTGCTTGTATATATTATATATTATAAAGCGATAACAAATTTTATGATAAAATAATAGATCATAGTATTAGTTTTAAAACTGTATAACTCCTTTCGCCTGTAAACTTCAATCTTCGTTAATTGAAAAATTGAGGGTGATTATATTATACATCTACTGAAATTACACGTTTTATTTACCTATATCTGGACCATCTTTTATTTTACCAGTAATAAGACTTTGGACTCTTTAGTCAAAGAAAAAAAAAAGACTTTGGACTCTCGAGGTTGTCATGGCATGCATGTGAATTATATAAATAACCAGAAGTTACTGTTAGTTATGGCCCCTACAATACTTCGAGTATTTATTGTAAACTGTATTATGTATAGTGTTTACTAATACAATACTACAACATAAAACCTGGATTAGGACTTCATATTTTATTAGTCAATTATCAAATAGTAACAATGATATTAGGTCGTTGACTCGTTGTCAAAAAAAAAACAATGATACTAGGTAAATAGGACGTCTTATTTAGAAACATGTTTTTTCTCTTTTTAATAAGAAGTCGTGGTAAAGTGGAGAATTTTGCTTAACATTTCAGACATACTGCTCTTAGCAGTAATAATCATTTAATGGTTAGCCACATCAGTTTGACTTTACATGATCGATTTAGTAAATCAGTATTTAAGTTTATGAATGGTATTCTCATATTTTCATATTGGCTTTTGACTTGAGAATAACTCGGTCCGTAGTATATAGGCTGAACCCGAAACTTGGGACAATTAAGAGCATTTATAAATAGGTAAATAAATTCATTTTAATTTTTTTTTGTTCACTTATAAATTCGTTTTCACATAATTATTCTTTGATTCTTACTCTCTCTATTTCATTTTATTTATCGTTTTATAGAAAAATTTTTGTTAGAAAATAAGTGTTGTTTTATAATTTCAATATAAAATTTATTAATTTTATTTATTTTTTATTGGTTAAAATGTGTTTAGTTGAATAAGTAATTGTATTTTTATTTTGAACATATATAAAACTAAAGGATTTTTAATATATGTACAAACTTAAAATAATATCTGAATGCAAAATATTATTTATCCATATTTTTGTATTTAGAGCATCCCCATTGAAGGTTCAATGGGGGGTTTTTCACACAAAAACTAAGAAACAAAAAAAAATAAAATATAATAAAAACTGTGAATCTGGCTTGTTGGATATCATTGGAGTGAATCTGGTTCACCACTATACCACGGACCCCATGCTACGTGCTGACCCACGATTGGTCCATATTTTTTTTTTTTTTTTAGAAAAAAAGACAAATGAATAAAAAAAGGAAAAAAATTAATTTTTTTTTTTGTGAACCTACCCCATCAGTTTATTGATGTGGGTGCTCTTACTCATGTAACAAAAAATAAAAAGGGTCCACATGAATAAATGACGTTAGGTCGATGGTCCAAAGTTGTTCACAATTTTCAAGATGTTCGTATTTACTCGTTCCACTTTTATATCACGACACTTTAATATTTGTATCTCTGAGTTTTATATTTATCATCTGCTTAATTTTTATTTATCTATATAAAAATAAATCTGAGGTGGATTTATGGGCGCTTTTTTAGAAGGTAGAGTGTTTACATAACTTACATTTCTCACATATAATTTTTGAGACGTCCTCCGAACTCCTACATGCAGCCCTCACTAACCCTAGTGACAACCAAAACCTCGTTTTCAGTCATATCCGTCACAACATTTCTTTTCTTCTGGCAAAGATTGATACTTGGAGTCTAGAACACGTTCTCCCTGAACGCAATGAAGCAGCGTTGGCTATTACCTTAAGCGTCACTCGAGATCAACGTCATCAATTCTACATCGTCAGATATGCTCCGGTGTGGCTTTATCATCTTCTTGCTTTAGAGACTCAGCCATAAAGGGTTTGTTCTGGTGTGATCCTTTTCATTTTGTAATAATGTCTAATGGCATTCCATTGTTTTTCTCTTTAGCATCAAATCTTTTCCATTGTTGTAGTTCACAAACTGCCAGTATTATAAAAAAAATATAAAAATAAATCTAGATATATTTTAGGCCTACAAATTTCTTCCATAAATCTAAGGCTGAAATTTCGTTACAACATTTTCAAGATTCTTTCTAAGACTTATTACCATATAATGATTTATTTGTATTTTATATATTACATTTTTTATCTAAAATCTCTATGTATATTACATTAATCGACTTGATTAATTCCACATGAAATTCATACAATTAGTTCGTAGTATATATAAGTTAACAATTTATTATAGTAGAATTCAAAGCTTTTGATGAGAAAAAGAGAGCCTTTTGTGGTTTTGAAGTTATGGGCTAAACTATACAATTATAATCTTAACGTTCATACCCAAAAACAAAAACTAAACAATCATAATACTCTCTAGTAATGTTAAATGTTCAGAGAAAAACTTTAAATCTCTCTGAAGTGACAAGCGTGCAAAGGCAGCTGGTGCATTTCTTTTTTGAATTGAACCGTCAAGTTTTGGCCAACCAAAGCTTGTACCCTTCAAAATAATAATAACTTCTTTTAAGATGCCAACATTCTTTATCACGAAAATAAAATAAAAAAATAATATATATGATCTTTTGTATAATCACGATTTCAATCATTTTATGTAGCTAATCAAAATAAAGATCCAAGTCATAATCAGATGACAAATAATACAATGATGAGTTCATTTTAGAGTTAGTTAGAATAAAATTATGATAAACGACATCATTTGCTATTTTATTAGATTAAAAAGTTACTGATTATACCTTGCAATTTATGATTGTTAGATTTCATTATCTCATGCATTGGTTATTTCATGGTTATGGTCTTATGGGAGTTATCATTTTTGCGATGGTTTGCACTTTGCATATGAAACCAGTATAAAAACAAAAATTCAACATTGTACGTACTTACTACATGTTCTTTTTAATACAAACTATTCGTTTTTCTTATATGCCTTGATCATAATGCATCATGTTTTGTAAGTTCCATCATTATGTATATCGCAACAAGCATTTAACTTGAAAGCAACAAGAAATGATTCTTGAATTTGAAATTTTACTCATACTCTTCCTCAGTTTTTGCATGTGTACTGTCCTTGCTTTTCTCACACACCATTTTGATTTATCCCAAAGTTTGGAAGCACATGTTTGATCTATTTTTATGGGGTTTATGATACTTCGTATTATTAAATTGCTTTTAATTTTTGTATGATCTTTATTTTCTTCGTTTGTACTTCTTTTTCTTTTACTAATTCCTTTTGGCATGAGATTCAAAAGCTCCACACCACTTCAATCCAAAAAAGTAAAAATAACGTTCACTAAATTTTTTAATTCATTTTCTCTAGTTGTTGGACTGCCAATCATATGTTTATATGAACTTTTTTTTTTTGTCAACATGTTTATATGAACTTTGAACTCCCAAAATTTAGTTTATACTATCGGTGACGGCTCTAAAAATTATTTTATCTGCATTTTTTTTTACAAAACATTACTCCCTCTATTTTTTAAATAAGTGTCATTTTATCATTTTTTCTTGTTTCAAAATAAATGTCAATTTATATTTTCAGTGTAACTTTTACCACATAATCTCTTTCTTATCATTTTAACCAACAATTAGATATTTCTAAAAAAAAAATTTATTTAAATAATAATACATTTAATGAGAGTAAATTGCTATATTTTGTCATTTTTTAATATATGGGAAATAGATTAAAATGACACTTATATTGAAAAGGAAGGAGTAGTTAATAATACTATAAATATGATTGTTTTTTTAAATGGGCACAGTTAAAAAAATGTTTAAAACTGATGACAAAAAAAACTGTATAAAACTACACTAAAATTACAAACTCATGTAGGCAAATGTTCCTTCCACTCAATGTAGATCACCACTGTATAGTATACTGAAAACCATGAACTTTGACTTTTTATTTAAATCCTATAAACTTTGAAACCTATAGTGCAACAAAATTATATTATTAGTTAAAAATATAAATAAATTTAACCCTAAACCTTTTCTGAGTCAAATTTAGCCCTAAACTAAGATGTTGTATATATATGGATCGATAGAATCAAAACCAGTAATCATATGAACATATTATTTTACTTCAGTTTTACAAAATCAATTTATATAAACATTACAAAAAGAACTTTCGTAAGATAATGGTTAGCAAAAAAGAATGATAATGGTGATTTTGTTTCTCGAAAATGAAGAACGTAAATGGTGATTTTTAGCAAACTATTTTCTGAAGAGTACTATCTTTTTTTTTTTGTGTGTGTACCTCCGAAGAAAACTATCTGATATGATATATAAACATAAATGTTCACTTATTATCTAATCTGATGATTCGGAGAATCAACTCGAGTAACCACCACTTGATCTAGTATAAATGGACGGTTGACATAAAAAAAAAAAAAATCTAATCTGATAACACTATCTGAGAGAATTTACATGTAAAAGCAAAAAATCCTGAATTTTGTTCTTGTTAGTGTTTTTCGTTTGTTAAAAATCATTTTCCCTTACTATAGACAAACAACTTTCCAACAAAGCAAACGCACGAGTCCTGGATTTTTGTAACACTATTATGGGTTTTACGTGCAATCAGTTTACTGACATTTGATTTCTCCTCAAACATGCATTATTATATGTTTGATTCACTTTTTCAGTTTGTAAATAAATATTCTCCAGGTACAGATATATGGCAGATGAAATGGACGTAGCGTGTAAGAATATACAAAGTTATAATATAAAGGATAAAGTTAAGACATTATAATAATTGGAAACAATAACATTATTATTTCCTGAATATACTGCAACGACATATCATCACGCACCTTACTTGGAATTACTAATTCCAAAATGTGATAACATTGCTAAACATACTGAGCCTTTTGTTTTACGTGCAGGCCTATTCTGAAACCCAAACACGCCTTGGATTTTCTACTACTACTAAACTTGCGTCTGCGTAAACCTGAAAGCTACAGTCTCCAACGCAACGCAGTTTTATCTGAGTTTCTACTCGCAACGTCACAATTACAAAGACAATCAAACAAGACAAAGCAACAACCTTCAATGTCAGGCTAGAAGAAAACAAAGAGAACGTGTTTAATCGCAACAAGATTCAAAGTTCAATAGAGAAATTTATTTGTTGTGTCCAACACAGCCAACAGATTATTAAGACAAAGCCAAGAAAGCCAGTAAATGGAGAAGAAGTCTTCCGTTCATCTTGCCACTGTTCGGAGCATCTGCAACAAAACAAGAACTGTTTCGTGAAAGAGATCTGATACAAACTACACTCTTATAACAGACGTATAATGGCTCACATATATAATATAACATAACAAAAACATCCACTTGTATTTAGACAGCTATTGCATATGCTCTTGCCATCAAATATGAAAAACTTGAAAATGCTTAGTTATATTGAATTGTTCTGACTATCTACTTAACCTTCAACTCTTCTGTTTAACCAAGAAAACACGTGTACATTCTATAAAATCGCTTGAAGAGAAAACACTATGCTTTAGGATGGGTAAAAAGAACACGTGGTGTTGATTTTGAGACCATTGATTCCTTCGGACATTTAAAAGCTAAAACCAATTGAAAACCAAATGAGTTTATGTATCATCAAAACATATGCAAATGCTACTACCTCAAACCAAACATTGCTATCATTCTAAATCAGATTTCAGTAGCAAATATTAAAACACTAAACGCAAATAACAAACTACTTTCACCGCTTTTTCGATCAAACGAATAAAAAATTTACAAAATGGAGATTTAAATCAATCATCAAATAAATTACCTGATCGAAGAAGATCAAATGCTATTCAGTGAGACGGAGCAGGCTGTTTCTGATTGTGGTGAGATGATTTCGAAGGAGCAAGAGCTTTGTTGTAGATCTGCTCACCCACGAGATACACGCAGAAGGCGGCGACGCCGATGCCGAGACCGGGAAGAGCGTGTCTCATCTGGTTTGATAGCATCGGATGCTTCCTCCATTCATCTCTACGCCGGAAAAACTCGCCGGTAGTACCTAAAGGCTTCGTCATTTTTCTCCAGGTGTTCGATTGGAATCTCCTGCGACCGTACCTTATTCTCTACTCTCTTATTCAGGAATCATGGGCTTTCTTTGAGGTATGGGCCTTATTTACTGGCTCGGTGAAATAGGCTTTATGAAAAATTTGTCACTATTGGGCTTTTATTTCGTTATTATTTTTTTTTGATATAACTTGCATTTGTGAACAGTACCTTAAATTTGTCACATTGGACTTCCTTTATGCATATCCGGTTATGCGTCCCATCAATATAAAAAAAAAATCTTCAGTTAATATTATGACTGTGACTTCACTTCGAACAAATTATTCATCAAAACGAACATATGTTAACAAATATACATGCAATAAAGGAAGGGCTTATTTGTGGTTTAGCCATAAAAAGAAATAAAATTAGATTTTTAGAGAAAAGGAAGAGAGATAGGAAGAGAGGAAAAAAGAGAAGGGGATTTTGACTACTGATCTAATTTTGATTTTTGTTGTAGTTATAGAGTGCAATTTCTCAAAATAGTAAACATTCTCCAGAGAGAAGGAATTGTGAGAACTCTGATGGTCATACGCTTAAATATCTGGTGTGATACGAATTTGAATTCAAATCTTTAAAGTGATGAACGCCATGACCATCCGATTACGTACGCGTGGTTAACTGAAGAAATTTTATTTAAGTATTATATGATAAAGTCCCATATTGCAGCCATGAATATATAAGTACATTGATAACTCATAATAATATTTTCTTCCAGCTTAGGTTTCTGGTTCAGGGGACGAAAGCATAGTGAAGTCACCGAAGAAACTTTTTTCAGGCATAAACATGGTGTTCTCGTCGTTAGAGAATGGGCTTGGAGGAGGAGGATCTAGTGTAGGATCTGATGGAACTGGTGGTATTTCACTAGTTTTGTCTTCCAACGGTTCTGCGATTGTTTGGACTGCTAATAAACAAAGAAGAAATTGAGCAATCTCCATCAGGGGCGAAGGCAGAAAACTTTGTGACTATTGTGGGTGCACTAAACCATTATAACCACTTTATCTAATTGAATTATAGTGATTTTGCTTATAAAATTTTAAATATCTATTGTCTCCATTGTTGTTGCAGAGAACTTCATGTTTTTGTTGTTGTTGTGTTTGTGAACTTGTATTGTATATGTAAGCCAATGATTATGTTGTGATCAGTTGATGTCGGTAGAAATAGGTACAGATAAATTACACTAGACGAAATAGTGATTATTTTTTCTACATATTAAGAAAGAAAATTCAAAAAATGAATCTACCAAATTTAATCAATTGAAATAATTTTTTTTTGTTAATTAATACTAATAAATTAACCTACATATATGGTATTCAATGTTTAAATCTGAAAATCTTCTCACAAAGTTTATTTTTACCAATACAAAGTTCATTTCTAAAATTACATATCTTATAGTTTTTCATTATTTGCTATCAAATTCAGTTTTAACATTGAGTTACTGTAATTCTCCTATTATTTTCATAAAAAGTAATTATAATACACTTAAATTACAACGAATTAAACCAATTTTACTTTCATGAATAATCCAATTTTGAGAAGTGAGATTTCTTGGCTCTTGAATATTTTCTTCTAACCTTTTCTCACTTCCTTAGCTTAGCACATCCACTGAACAACAAGAATCTTCTCTTTTGACTTCTTCGTGACCGCACAGACGTCCCTTTGATCTATAATCAAACATTCAAAAACGTCAAGCAAACAGAAAAGAGTCTATGTTTAGTTTCATTTCACTTAACCATAGAAGTAACGTTTTGTGAATGAAATGAACTCACCTTGCTTCTTCTTGGAGACTTCTGTGAGTTCCAACAGAAAAGCAGACTGCAAACTCCTCTTCCTGTTTCTGACTCATATCCTCTATACATAAACCAATCAAGACAGTTGTTTGTTATGAACTATGATGATCTGATTACTTTTCAATTACTGAATCAAGATTACTTACAGATTGTCTTTGTTGTTTGTGAAGTTACTACCGTGGAGTAAACTCGGTGAAACAGGACAATGCTCCATTCTTTTACCGGTCTGATTCTCCTGAGCCTCATCCATTTTGCAAATCTTCAACACTTCATTGTTTAGTCCAGAAGAAACTGCAGAACCAGTGTTTGGTTGGTGATGATGACAGTTGGTGTCTTCCTGAGGTGAAACTTGATTCCTCTCGGGTTTTAACCGTCCTTGTGAATCAGGAGTCTTCTGTAGTCTTTCAGATTCTAATCTCTGTTCTTGGATGATAGTTTCAATCCTTTTCATTGGAACCTCATACCCACTTTCAGTATCTGAACTAGCTGCCACTGCTGTTTCTCTTATCTGCTTGGAGTTGAGTAACTCAGTTTCAGACAAGAGGATCATCCTCACCTCAACGTTTCTCCTTAGTACAGTCTCAATCGAGTTTGTGATACTTCTAACGAACCCTTCAGCTCTCAGTTTGATCTCTCTGTCTCCAAATGCAATATAAGCAACTAGAATACCTGCAAACATGGTCCTATTTAGCATATTATTACAAGAGATTGGCTTAAGAGCAGTTTTTAGGCTTACCTTTAACTTCACTGATAGATAAAAGCCTCCCATGAGAATATAGCAGCTGCTTCAATGTCTTTGAATGGCATCTATCTACACACTTCATCCAGATATCATTTAGTTTCTCTGAAATGGAAGCGTCATTCTCTATAACTTCGCTGGATGAAGAGGAAGATTTCACTTCATGAATAGTATTTTCGCCTTTTCTGATTGAAGCTGGGGATGCTGAGTTGCTACATTGAAGGTTTGATCTTTGTTTGTAAGCAATAACTTCTCTTGAAATGCTTGACTGGTTTTCTCCAGTTGCTATAGAGCTTTGCCGTCTACTGCTACTGGTATGAGTGGTTCCAGGAGAAGGCATCAGACCAAGCTGCAGCAAGGTAGCTATGAACCATGTTGAACGATCAGTGGTAACTCGAAGCTGCTTCTCAGCCTCAGAAAGAATCTTCAAAGCATGCTTTAGCCTCTCCATCTCTGCTTCACTCACTATAAAAAGAGATAACAAGATTGGCCAAAAAGGCATCAATAAGCTAAAAAAATTGTATAAAACCATTCCTTATGCAGTTTCATTAGAAAACTCACAGTTCCGTCCATCAAGGAAGGCGTCACTGTATTTTTCATCCAAGGCCTTGTACGCTCCAGCAATGATATCCATGATAAGGCTAGCTAGTTGAGACATCATGAGAATTGGGTCAGCTCCTAAGTCCAGTAACTCTCTCGCTTTCTTCACCGTCTCTGCAGTGTCAGAAGATAAAGCCAACTCCAAGAGGTCAAGCAATTTATCATCTGAAACAACACCCACCTGCCACAAACACTAACAGTCACATTCACATTACCAATTGCTCTAATGCTACCATATGCAAACAAACACCAAAACTTACTAGCTCATTTACAAGATCAACAGTGATTCTCTTCCCCATCAAACACAGCTGATCCAACATGGTTTCAGCATCTTTAAGTGAGCCATCAGCATTCAAAGCAATCAAGTTCAACGCCTGAGACTCCACGTCAAGATTTTCATCTGAAGCAATTTTCTTTAACCTCACAACAATGTCACCATCCTTGAGTTTGTTGAAGAGTAACTTCTGGCACTTTGACTGGATCGTCCGAGGAACATTGCCAAGTTCAGTCGTTACACATATGAACACCACTTTCTGCAGAGGCTTCTCAAGAAACTTGAGTAACAACAGCCAAGTCTTAGACGGCAACAAGTGACACTCATCAATCACAAAAACCTTGTATCTTGGTGAACTCTGTGGAGCCACCAAACTCAGCAACTTTTTCAAAACGTACCTAACTCTCTCAGCTCCATTCTCCTTAGCAGCATCAAGCTCCAACAAATCCCTACTCTTCCCTGACATGAACTCACTACACTCTTTACAGTACCCACAGGGCTTCATTTCTTCACTCACCATATCACAGTTCAAGGCGGCCGAGAAGATTCTCGCAGTGGATGTCTTCCCAGTTCCTCTAGGACCTTGGAATAGATACACATTAGCTATTCTACCCTTCTTCAAAGCGTTCATCAGCGACTCAACAACAGTACTCTGACCAATAAGTTCATCAAAGAACATTGGTTTGTACTTTCTACTCAAGCTCTGCATATTTTCCGGTGTACTTCCTTCTTCTTCACACTGACTCCTACAACTAGTGGACCATCTTCTCCCATCTAATCTACTCCGAGACTCTAAATCAAGCTCTCCAAAATCAGTAGAAAGATCATCATCATCATCATCACTACACACAATCCCTCCTCTAGTATCACCACCGTATTTAAGCAAAGGTACAACACTCAGCTTCTTATTACATCTCCCAGAAGAATGTCTACGATAGTGACTCCCACCACATAAGATGCTACTTCCTTTCCTTCTAAGAGTATCCGAAAAGGAAGGCGAACAACAACTCCTACATCCACCTCTATGCTTCAGATTCCTCCTTTTGGTTCTGTAAAAAGGAATCCCACAGCCTTGTTGTCTCCCTGTAACATCCAAGTTATCATCATCATCCAAAGATCCCACCGTGCTGGGGCTACGGATAGCATACATGTTCTTGTATGAGGTAGTGGACAATGCAGGTGTGCTATTACAAGTATAAGAAGAGTCATCTCTCTTACTTGAAGTTCTTAAGAACTTATAAGAAGAAGAAGAGTGTGACCAGTTTTTCTTGTGGTTAAGCTTCAACATTTGAGTGAGAGTCTCTGAATTGCTAAAATCCTCTGTTGTTTCTTCACCTGATGTTGTTGCTTCTTTAGGTTGATGATATCGAGACAAGAACTTACTTTTTTTCTTGATAAAACCGCTGTTTCTAATCTTTGAGAAGCCTGGTGACGACACTAGAGTCTTGTCTCTGGACCTGGACATCATCATCATAGAATCTCCACCGTTCCTCGCATCACTCAAATCATCATAATCGTCATCTTCAGTACTGTTCTTGTCGCTTGAAGTTTTCTGAGACTTCCAATTATAAAGAAACACTTTCTTCTCCTTCTTGTCCTTCACGTTGTTGCCAAAGCCTTGACTACTCTCAACTCGAGACGGAAGAAGCTCGACGCTGTTGTTGTTGCTTTGCGGAAGGTCTTCCACAGGGACGGATCTGGAGGAAGTGAGAGGGGATTTCCAGGAAGAAGAGGTTCCTGGATCGCGTAGACACTTGGAGACTTTCCTGATTTGAGTCAGCTCTCTCTTGAGATGCAATTTGCTTGGATCCGATATCTTTAGACCAGACATTTCTTAGAGCTTGCTCTTCAAGTTTGAAAAGAAGCAGAAGAAGGGGAAGAATCTCTGTTGATAAACTAAGTGAGATGTCTGTCTATGAAAGCGATTGTTGAGAAAAATTCAAAAAATAAAAATCACGGTGGTGTTGGATGACTGATGATGATTTTAATTATGTCTTTATTTTAAAGGAATTAAATGAAAATAGGAAAGGACACGAAAAGAAATGTGAAAAAGTGAAAGTTGGGTCGGGAGGAGCGGTGACGCTCGGGATTCCTCCTTTACTGGGCTCTTCTTGTCAGATCCAATTTCACGTTTCTTCTCTGTCTTGTTGACTCTTGCCTCTTTTTTCTTTAATTTATTTTTTTATATATTTTAATCCATTTTCGGTGTGTTTTCTTTTGTTACATTACAGGGCCAAAGCCAGTACATGTTCTTTCTTCTTGCAGCGTGGCCTTTACTGATTTGCTAAATAAATGTTGTCTAAAAACTATATTAAATTACAGATTCCTGACATTTACATGTCTATTAAACTGAGACCATTTCTTAATTTCAGATTGATATTCATGTTGTGATTATACGAAACATATCTCGTTTCCGCCTCGTCGTAGAATTACATATATAACACGATTAATTAATATTTCAGTTCTTTGACTAATTAGTAAATACCTTCACTCTTTAGATCTCTCATATCATATGTCATTGCTAGGTTTGTCGTCTAGTTAGTTTGAAAATGTCGAACGAAAACGACTAAAACATCTCATGCCTATTTTCTTATAGCCATTTGCTTCGCTTTTCTTTTAATTTGTTCTACCATTTGTAAGTAATTTTAATGTGGCTACTCTTGAATACATTCAACTAATCATGTGATCACATGGGCACCATAAAATGCCGAATACGTACTTACCAAATTAGCACAGCACTAATTATATAGTCTTGCAAGTTATAAACGACCACAAGACTATACAAGGATCACATGTATCCACTGAATTTACGTATCTTACATATCGGAATACGATAACATATAATACCAAACACAACTTAAAGGGATCACCGTCTTGTATAAATGTATCTATGTAAAGTATAAAAATTGGACATATCTTTCTTATATATAAATCATACCTGCTTCAATGCTCGACATTCACTTTAGTTAGTGCTATTTTTTTGTCCGGTCAATATTTCACCACATATGATATAATTACTAGGTATGTTTTTGTTTTACATAGAGCTATATTTCAGGAGACATTTTTTTATGGCCATGTTAGTTTATACTCACAAATATGCATTATCTATCAACATCATGCATATGAGCAATCTCTTGGCTGCTTATAGTCTGTGTGTCTATGAATTATGCATTTCATATAAGCAAAATAACAAATCAACGACAAAACGCACATGCCGCTATTTTGTCTATTTCCGAAGGTTTTTCATGGCCCCTAGTTTTATTAGTTCTAGATTGATTAGTAAATTATAGAAGAAAAACAACAAGCAAACGTTGTCTTTATGTTACAACCTTATTCAATAACCAAGGAAGAATCAAGACAAGCGATTGACTAATCTGGTCGGGATAGATCTTAGATGGTCCTTCCGAATGTCCGTCCATACATTTACAATCATAATCAATGCCCATTTATGTTTTCTCTAATAATCAACCAAATGATTAATATTTCTTAAATATTGATACAGTATATGATCGACACTCTAATATATTCAACTTTTGCATAAACTAGATGCCTAGTCCCCGCGCAAGCGCGGGGGTTGGATACGTTGTTGATGTGTTGTGTAGTTTTGTGTATGAGATTTTGCTATTTTTTTTTTAAACATTTATTTATCTGGCTTATCTATAATAGTGATGAATGAAACATTAGAAGTCACACAACTTGATTAGTCTGATAAAAGAATAAACATCGAATTCATATGGGTTGATATTTTCATATTTTATCTTCGTAGTGATTTTATCGAGCATTTCTTTTATTAGTGATTTTATCGAACATTACTGTTATTAGTGCTTTCATATAAAAAAAAAATTTAATGGATACAAGACAAAAAGGACATGTGTTTATTAGTGTAATTTTCTTTCTGAAATTATTTTGTATATATATATATATATTTTTTCTTAATTGTGATGTATATGAGATTTATGGCCGATCTGAATGGTTCGGGGTAAATATTTATTATTGAAAAATATGTTTTTATTTTAATTGAAATGATATTGGAGGTTAGAACATGATAACCTTTCGTTTAAAAGTAACTAAGATGGTCTCATAAAGTTTCAAATCTTTAAGCCATTTTGTATCCCAACAATCATCATAAAAAATCATTCTGAATCTCCCCAAACTTTTAGGTATCCTGAAAAGTCCAAATTAAAAAAAAAAATTACATGCAGACACTGCGTTTCGAACCCGCACACTCGCGGTACTAACTTCTCGTCACCAATTTACACCACTGGGCCATTTCATGATTTCATCACTCATCAATAACATTTAATCTTACAAAATGTTATACGTTTTTGTTTCCCTTAATAACACGCGCAAAATCCGCAAACTTGCTGAGGTGGATAGGCTTATGAGCCTTGAAAGTGTATCATTATAATATAGATTTTGAAAGTTCCATCGTGTCACTGTTACAATATTATTCGTCAGGTGAATTACTTACTTTAAAGAAATGGTTTCGTGACATATATGATGGGCTTTTTCTCCAAGTAATGGGCCTTATTGGGCTCTCAAAGTCCATCTACCCACACTTATATAACTTACGTCCCTTGAATTTGAAACAGAAACGAGAGAGACAAGACAGCGGGAAGCTAAGTGTTCGATGAAATTACTCAGAGAAAGGTTTCTGATTGGAATGTGATGGTTTCTGGATATTGGAGATTTATGAACAAGTAGGAAGCTTGTTAGCTTTTTGATATGATTCCTGAGGATGTAACTGATGTGGTTTCGGTGGACGGTGATGATTACTGGTTTTCGAAGCTTAAGGATTTGGAAAGAGCAAAGTGGTATTTTGATCAGATGCGTGAGAAGAGCGTTGTGAGTTGGAATGCTATGCTTTCAGGCTATGCACAGAATGGGTTTACGGAGGAAGCTCTGATGCTGTTTAACGATATGTTGAGAGTTGGAGTTAGGCCTAATGAGACAACATGGGTTACTGTTATCTTAGCTGTTCTTCCCGTGGTGATCTTTCTTTTAGCTCATTCACTGGTGAAGTTGATTGATGAGCGGAAAGTCTGTTTCTATTGTTATGTGAAGACGGCGGTTCTTGATATGTATGCTAAATGAGCAGATATTCTATCTGCTAGGAGGATTTTCAACGAGGTAGGCGTGGAGCGGAATCTTGTCACTTGGAACGCTATAATTTCTGGATATACCAGAATGGGAGATTTGAGTTCGGCTATGCAGCTTTTTGATGCAAACAGAGTAGTAATTGAGATAATCCCCATGGATGGACATTCATATGCCTAATGTGGAGCCATAGGAAGCTAGTGGCGTCTGGTCCCAGGTTGAGCATTTGCTTACTTTACTGAAACAGAGGAAGACTTTGTGAAGGCAAAGACAACCTCCATTTTTTCACTTTAAATGTAGTGTAAATAAGATGTTTGTTCTAAAAAATTATGCAAAATCATTTTTAGAATAATGCGTTTGTGTGGATATATCTGATATGACTGTAGATTTTACTGTATGAATCGTTTAGCAGTATCTTGATCTGCCTCGTCTTTATGTTGCCTACAGATCTCTTTGGCCATTCGATATTGGTCTTCATTTGCTTAGGTTTATGCTGACTTCAGTTCTGAGTACGTAAACCCTCAGCTGTGTTTTGTTTGGAGATGTGTGTAGTGGTTGAACCAAGTTTCCACGTAATCATCACGGGTAATTCATTCTCTTGTTCTTGAAATATTTGCTGAGTACAGAGATATTATATATCTTCTAGGAGAATTTACACCGTGTTGGATCCACAGAATAATCTTGTCGATTAGCATGCAATGATTTCTGGATATACTAGAAGTGGTTATTTGTTCTCAGGAAGACATTGCCTTTTGATACAGTGCCCTATACGGATTCTTTTTGGTTGCAACTCGATGGTACTCACAACAGACAACCTGCAGTAGCCATTTGAATTGTTCAAAATGGCGTGTGGTAGGAAACTCTTTAGGACCCACGTCTTGTACGTACGGAAATAAACCATTTATGACGACAAAGTTCAATGCTTCTTGCTTTGAAGCTTCCTGGTAACCCCTCCCCAAATCTAGCCATTAAATTGTCTCTCTGTAAAAGTAGTTGGCGAAATGTCTTTCTTTATTGTCTCTCTTACAGTGAAAATTTAACCATTTTCCTTAGTCAACTCATTCCGCGTGGAAATTCACTTACTGTATTGCTCCAAGCTGTCTCCTAACACGCTCAAGGTCGACACTATCCTTTGTTTTAAGACCATAAATCTGCATTGTAGGTAACAAGGCCACAATAGAAAATAGAAGTCGCCTCACTCAACTGCATCACTCTTGCAGAGTTCTATCATAAACCTTAACCCTTTTCTTTCCAATGGATCCAAGACTTGAACAAGCAGCTGAATCTGGAAGCATCGATGAGCTGTACGCTCTTATTGATGAGAATCCATACATACTTGAGAACTTTGATGCAGTACCGTTTGTGACCACTCCCCTCCACGTAGCTGCAGCTTCGGGGAACATAGAGTTTGCCAAGGAGATGCTGAATCTTAAGCCCTCTTTTGCCAGAAAGCTCAACACAAGCGGGTACACTCCACTGCATGTTGCTGTAGAGAAGGATCAAGATGAATTTGTCAACAGGATGCTCTGGCTTGATGGCGGTCTTGCCCGGGTTAAAGGGAGAAACGGAATCACACCGTTTCTTCTACTAGTGTCAAGAGGAAACTTAGAACTTGTTACACCGTGCCTCCGTCAATCCCCTGAATGTATCGAAGATGAGAGCGTAGATTTCCAGAATGCTCTGCACCTTGCTGTGATTAATGATAAAATTGAAGTGCTCCAAGTCCTCACTGGATGGATCCAGAGAATGAGCCAAAGAAATGCTAACTCCATTGAGAATCGTGTTCTAAATGGATTGGATCTTACCCACAACACGCCTTTGCACCTCGCTGCATATAAGAATGATCATCAGGTTTGATTTCTTTTCCTCTTTAATTCTTATATTTAAAAACCATATATATATATAAAAAAACAAATGGACGGGCTTCCATCTCAAAAACTAAGTAACAATGAATGAATGAACTGTGTGATTCCTATACATGACATCAAGATTATCTCTTCATGTGCAGATGGTGAGACTGTTATTAGAATGTCGGTGGGTTCAGCGAAATAAAGAAAATGGTGATAATTTAACTTTCCTTGATATTTTAAGAGACCAAGGACAAAGCGACGCAGGTGGAGACTTAGGAAGTCAGGGACCGAGAGTCGTAGGAGAGGACTTGGATTTGGAACAAGTTGTTGCAAAAACCAGGTGTAAAGAGAAGGCTTCCTTGCCAAGATCCAAGGAAAGGTTTGAGATTTCAAAATCACCATTCACTTTCTGGACTTACTGCTCCACTTTCATGAGACGCCTAAGGAGTAACCCATCAGATGAATCTCGTGGAGTGTTCCTGATTGTATGCACTTTGATAATAACAGCCACTTACCAGACTGCACTCCAGCCTCCAGGAGGTGTACACCAATCCGAGGATTCGAATGCGGGTTCCGTGGTGATGAAACAGACGTTCTTCATCCTTCTTTGGGTTTCCAACACCGTAGGCTTCTGCTGCGCTATACTCTACACCTTTTGTCTCATACCACTTGATAGTTTGTTTGCGACTTGGTTCTTTTGGATTGGGACAACTCTGTGCATTTCTTATGCTCTAGCCATGGCAGTAATCTCACCGCACCCTCTAGTGTTTCTCTCCGCGACCTTTGCCTTCTTCCTGCTCGTTGCTCTTTATTTCTTATTTGAAATGTTCACATATTGGCGGGATCGTCGGTCCGATTAAGCTGGTTTTGGAAGGATTGATACAACCAACATGTATCACTTTTTATTACAGTAGAAGAGAGAATTTTTGAGAAGGTAAAAGATGCAACCGTCAAAACATAAGACATGCCCCTTGTTTAGTCTTTTGTTTTTTTTTGTATTGCAGTAATGTTCAGTTTTGTAATATATCAGACTTTTGTATATACTATATTGTTTAATATATATATATGGAATTATTTCATGCATGTGATTGATTAGAAGAGAGTCCCTTTGAATTGCTATGTGAAGACGACGTTGCTTGATATATATGCCATTGCTAAGTGCAAAGATATTTTATCTGCTAGGAGGAATTTCAACGAGCTAGGCCTGGAGAGGAATCTTGTCACTTGGAACGCTATGATTTCTGGATATACCAGAATAGAATGGGAGGTTTGAGTTTCGGCTATGCAGCTTTTTTGAAGCAATGGCTGAGTGGAATGTTGTTTCTTGGAACTCGATGATTGCTGGTTTTGCTCATAACGGACAACCTGCACAAGCCGTTGAGTTTTTCAAAGAGATGATTGATTCTGGAGGTTCCAATCTGGATGAAGTGACAATGATTAGTGGTTAGTGCTCTCTCTGCTTGTGGACATGTGAAGGATATAGAATTAGGTGATTGGATTGTGGATTACATTGCTAAGAACCAGATGAAGCTTAGCGTTTCAGGATACAGGTCTTTGATGTTCATGCACGCAAGATGTGGAAACCTGAGCGAAGCAAAGCGGGTGCTGGAAGAAATGAATGACAGAGATATTGTCTCTTATAATACGTTGATCTCAGCTTTTGCAGCTAAAGGAGACGGAGCTGAAACGCTGAAATTATTCTTAAAGATGGAAGAAGAAGGTATAGAGCCCGACCCTGTGACTTACATTGGTGCCTTGACTGCTTGTAGCCGTTCTGGATTACTCGAAGAACGGCCAGAGAATATTCGAGTTAACAAGAAACCTCACTATTCTTGTATGTATGATTTATTGGGGTGAGTTGATAAGCATAACGTAGCTAACAGAGTATTTGACAGAAGGCAACGGCGTCTCATCCCAGGTTAAGCATTTGCCACTTTTCTGAAACAAAGAAAAACTTTGTGAGATTGTATATGGAACCTTTTCTAAACGAAATATGCAAAATCATTTTCAGAATAATGCGTGTGTGAATATATGATATGACTGTAGGGTTTACTGTATGAATGGTTTAGTATCATGATCTGCCTCGTCTTTAAATTGTCTACAGATCTCTTTGGCCATGCTATATGGGTCTTCATTTCCTGACATTTATGCTGTCTTTAATTCCGAGTACATAAGGACTCATCTGTGTATATTGGATGAACCAAGCTTCTGCGTAATCTCGGGTATTCCTTCTATTGTTCTTGAAATGCTTGATAAGTACAGAGATATTCTATCTACTAGGAGAATTTACAACGAGTTGAATCAGCAGTAATCTTGTCGCTTGGAAATCTATACTATTAAAGCAGAATCCCTTCTAGGATTCTGCCCATAGTTCTTGAATTATTTACAAAGATATGCCACTAACATTTAATTTTAATATAATTATTATTTATTTAAACTAAACAACTAAATCGTTCCTATATTTATGGTAATTAATAATTTTCTGATTTTGTGTTTAATAATAATTTTATTTTTATGCAATTTATACTTTCTTTTAATTTTAATATCCTATTTTCATGCATAATATCATTTAGTGATCAAAAATTAAATATTATTATTTACTAAGTCTTAATATTGATATACCAATTCAATTTTTTTATAAATTACCTTTTAGATATTTAATAAGTAAAAATGTAAAGTAATCATAGGTTATTAATAACGGAAAAACAGATATTGTTATATAAATATTTTTCTCTGTTACCATTGTTTCATTTTTCAAATAAAAACAAATTCATTAAAGTCTAAGAAATTACAAAAAGTCAATTTTCTTTAATATTAAAAGTATGTATTATTTACTAACTTTTTTAATAAATGTTATCAATTTTTATGGGACTTTTAGTGGATCTACAAATATTATATTGCGGATTAATAGAGGGTTTTTGCATATTTACCAGTTTTATCAAAATTTTAATTAATAAAATTTATTAAATCTTAACCGGACTATACAAAAATTATTAGATATACCGGTTCAACTATGGTCTAGATCAGATATAAAAACACACAATACGTAAAAATCAAACAAGATAATAGAACATTTTAATATTAGTAGAACAACTTTTTATGTTAAAATAAAATTTATTAATCCAAATAAATTTTATCAAAAAAGTATAATAAACCCGCGCTTTAAAAGCGCGGATCAAAATCTAGTATGCTATTATTTCTGGATATATATATATATATATATATAGAAAATTTGGTGTGTTTCATGAGTTTTATGAATAAGTTTAAGAGAGATTAACAGAAATAGTCACTTTGACTTTTGGTATCATAATAAGTCACTTTTTATTCCTTAGACACTTTTTCTTAACTTATTCTCTTCTTTCTTAACTAAAACATAACTAAACACAATTAATAGGATCCTCTATCTATTATATATATTTTACGATTATTTTGTACTAAAAAAATGATGATTCAGCTTTGTGATAAAACCAACGACAAAGAAAACAAAAGCATCCTCTTTTCATCTCGTTCACCCTTAATTTAAACCCCTAAAATCTGAATGAAACCTCTTTTCCACAGTAATAATATCACAACCATCACACGTACATCTATGTCTTCATCATTAGCCATGAAATCATCACCACCAAGTTTTCTCCTCTGCAACAACTCCGCCAAGTCTTCTCCTTTTGATTCACAGCCACATCGAACTTCAATCCGCGACCGTGAAGCTTCTTTCTCGACACAAATCCATAATGGTGGCCGTCGAGAGTTGTCGTCACTTGATTCTGGAAAGCTCGAGCAACAATGGTGGTTTGTCTTCATTTTGCGCATTTGGTCCTCCAATTATTTAGTTGTTCTCAATTTGATCTCAAATTTTTAAAATTTAACATTAGAACTGAATGCTAAAAATCATTAGATATAAACAACAGACAAAACCATTTGTACATTGTTATTTAAGCCATTTCATCAGAAATTGATCTATTATGTTATGTATATCGGTATTTTTGAGTAAGAAGCCACCATTTCATTTATATGTGTACATATTCTTCACATATTTTGATTCGCTTTTGTTGTACGCATGTACATTGAGCATTGTGTACACAATCAAAATGTACATAAAATAACAATCTTTTACGTGTAAGCATGCTCTCATATTGAAATAGATCGATGGGTTGATGTTTGTGAAAAAACATTTCACATACGCATGATGTTATGCTCTGAAAGCTAAATTTAGAAAGTTTTACTTAAATAGCAAAAATTCAGTTTAACTTTGTTTTCAATGAAAACATGCTTTCATGTAAAAAAATTATTATTTTGTGTACAATTAGAATGTGTACACATTCGCGTACACATCAAATGTGAATCAAAAATATGTACATCAAAGGTAAAATTATTATTTTGTGTACAATTTAGTTGTGTGCGTTATGTATCCCGTACACGTGTACATCATAGCTCTGTGTACACGTTTTTTAATATTAATTCATTAATGACATTATCGTAATTATTTCATCTTCTTCATCAGCCTCTTAGGGTTACGAATTTTGCAGGAAATTTGGGGGTTCCTCAGACCCTTAGCTTATTAGCAGGAAAAACAGCTTCAAATCATTTGAGTTGATCTTATTACTCTTGATTTCATATAGCTTTGTTAGCTGTGTGATTTGTCGGCGGTAAAAATGAAACAAGATGAAGAAGAAAAACAGATATATGGCAGCATACAAAACTTTCACATGACCGGAGCTTGACGGTAATGACGAGCTCGTGACTCAATCATATTTGTAACTGAGAGTTTTTATGAAGGTTGAGATGATGTTGATGGAGGCTGAGATTCGTGGAGGAAAGAGAGAGAGAATTAATGAATAAAAAAAAGTTAAAACCTTTTTCTTAGTTTCGACAAATCAAATCAATTTGTAATATAGTTAAGTTTTAGTTGGCAAATCTAAAGAAAAATGAGAAATGAGTTAGAGAAAGTGTCAGCGTAGAAAGAAGTGATTTGAATGTTATTAGTAAGTGTAAAAGTGACCCTCTATATAAATTTCTCTAAGTTTAATGCTATGCCAACAAGAAAAGACTAGCTGGCATAAAGCCAGACTTACACTGGTATCTTGCACCCGTTCGGGGTTATTAGAAGGCCTTAATATATTCGAATCAATTAGAAACCAGACAAGAGATTGCTATGCTTGTGTGGGTAAGCAATATAGATTAATTGAGAAAATGCTAGTGGATGCAGAGCTTTTATGATTTTCTTGTTAGATTCCAGTTTTTGTCTTTAGTTGTTCGCTCTCCAGTATGAACTTCATGTGGGAATATAATATATCTTTAAAAGTGGTTGATGAAAGGTCTTTGTTTGTTGTTTTTCTTACATGTGAGTCATTCTCGCGTGGAGGTTGACTTACTGGCTTTTGCTCCGAAGCTCCCTCGTAAACACGCTCAAGGTTGACACTTTCTTTTGGTTTAAGAGTTTATATAAATCTGAATTGTAGGTAACTAGGCCACAATAGAAAATAAAAGTCAACTTCATCGATCTTGCAGAGTTGTATCATAAACCCTAAAACTTTCTTTCTTTCCAATGGAACCAACACGCGTGGAGGTTGACTTAGTGGCTTTTGCTGCGAAGCTCCCTCTTAAACACGCTCAAGGTTGACATTTTCTTTTGGTTTAAGAGTTTATATAAATCTGAATTGTAGGTAACGAGGCCACAATAGAAAATAAAAGTCAACTTCATCGATCTTGCAGAGTTGTATCATAAACCTAAAACTTTCTTTCTTTCCAATGGACCCAAGACTTAAACAAGCAGCTGAATCTGGAAGCATTGATGAGCTGTATGCTCTTATTGAGGAGAATCCATACATACTTGAGAACTTTGATGCAGTTCCATTTGTGAACACTCCCCTCCACGTAGCTGCAGCTTCGGGGAACATAGAGTTTGCCAGGGAGATTTTGAATCTTAAGCCCTCTTTTGCTAGAAAGCTCAACAAAAACGGGTACAGTCCATTGCATCTTGCTGTAGACAAGGATAAGGATGAGTTTGTGGGCAGGATGGTGAGGCTTGATAATGGTCTTGCCCGCGTTCAAGGGAGAAACGGCATCACGCCGTTCCTTTTACTAGTGTCAAGAGGAAAAGCAGCTCTTGTGCAAAGGTGCCTCCGTACTTCCCCTGAGTGTATCCAAGATGTGAGCGTCAATGACCAGAATGCTCTGCACCTTGCTGTGATTAATGATAAAATTGAAGTGCTCCAAGTCCTCACCGGATGGATCCAGAGAATGAGCCAAAGAAATGCTTTCTCCATTGAGAAAAGTGTTCTAAATGGATTGGATCTTAACAAGAACACGCCTTTGCACCTTGCAGCATATAAGAATGATCACCAGGCATGTTTTCTTTTCCTCTTCAAATTCTTATTTACAGTAACTATATATAAAAGCAAGTTCTACCATGTGAATTGCATCTCAAAATGAAGTAACAATGAACGAGTGAACTATGTGAGATCCCTATACATTAAGAAGTTTTTCCTATTATGATGATCCATTTCATGCAGATGGTGAGACTGTTATTGAAATTGCGGTTGGTTAAGCGGAACGAAGTAAATGGTGATGGTTTAACTATCCTTGACATCGTAAGAAACCAAGGACATAGAGACTTGGATTTGGAACAACGTGTTGCAAAAGCCGGGTGTAAAGAGGCGGTGTCCCTACCAAGATCCGGGGGAGGGTTTGAGATTTTAAATTCACCATTCACTTTCTGGACATTCTGCTCCACATTCATGACACGCTTAAGGACTAGCATGTCAGATGAATCTCGTGGAGTGTTCCTGATTGTATGCACTTTGCTAATAACAGCCACTTACCAGACTGCACTCCAGCCTCCAGGAGGTGTACATCCATCCGGGGATGCTAATGCAGGTACCGTGGTGATGAAACAGATATTCTTCATCTTTCTTTGGATTTCCAACACCATCGGCTTCTGCTGCGCTATATTCTACACCATTTGTCTCTTACCACCTGGTAGTTTGTTTGACAATTGGTTCTTTTGGATTGGGACAACTTTGTGTGTTTCGTATGCTCTAGCAATGGCAGTAATCTCACCGCACCCTCTAGCGTTTCTCTGGGCGACCTTCGCCTTATTCCTGTACTTAGCTTTTTCTATAATTTGTGTAGCTTTCATGAATTTGTGGAAGCATCCGGATGAGGCCTCTAAGTACGGATCGAGCTGGATGCGAACGTTTGACGCAGAGTCATTTCTATTACAGGTGGAGGCAGGATTTTGAGAAGATAAAAGATGCAACCGTCAAAACATATGACATGCCCCCTTGTTTAGTCTTTCTTTGTATTGCAATAATGTTCAGATTTGTTTAGTCTTTCTTTGTATTGCAATAATGTTCAGCTTTGTTTAGTTTATCGAGTATTCTGTTCTGAATAATATGGATTTTAACCCGCAACAAGCCTTTGGAGTTTGGACCTAGCAGAGCATATAAGAGTATGTTCAACGCGGCTGCTTAATGGGTTGCTTAGCTCTTTTTGTAATTAAAAAAAAAATGAAAAAGCCTTAATTATTGAAGCACCAACGCTTAATTAAACATCTGGGGCACCGCTGCTTGTGGACACGTGTTGCTCTCTCATCACGCGGTGCCCTCTCTCTCTTTCACACACGAAACACAATTTGTGTTTCTTTCTCGAATCCTCCGTCTATCTCTCCTCTCTCTGAATACGAAAGCGATCTCGTGGACTCCATCTCGTCGCCTCCGTGATCAATCGGCGATGATCTGTGGTCGTCTCTCTCGATCTCCTAGACGCCTCCGTGGTCAATCGATGATGAAAGCGGCTCCGGCTATCTGGATCTTCGTCGACGATGAAATGGAGTCCGACATGCATGAAGATCTCTCATCGTGTCTCTCTCTCTCCGGGCCGATGAAAGCGTCTTCGGCGCTCTGGATCTCCTCGACGGCTTCTCGACAAGATCGAGGAAGTTCTCTCATCGTTTCTCTCTCTCTCTCCTCGACGGCTTCTCCGGAGTCCGACATGCATGAAGATCTCTCATCGTCTCTCTCTCTCTCCGGCAAGATCGAGGAAGATCTCTCCTCGTCTCTCTCTCTCTGTGGGACGATGAAAGGCATGAATCTCTCGGCGTCTCCTCTCCTGTACGAAAATGAAACAGAAAGGTAATCCAATCCTATGTATGTTTATATTTGTTTCTTGTAGTAATGATATGTTTGTGTCTTTGTTTTTTTTCAGATAGACGGAGCAAGAGAAGATGGTTCCTCAAACAAGACGTATGCCAAAACAGGTAAACTTCGAGACATTTGATTGAATGATATGTTGTGTTCTTGTCGTAATTGTTTAAGAGTTTACAATATGTTAGAATGGAGGGTTGGTCTGAATAAATCAAAGTCTGTGTTCTGTCTGAATGGAGTTTCTTGAATATATTCGAGTAGTCTTGTATGACATTGTTGTTTTGAATCGAGTTTCTTGATATAGTTTTGTTCTTGTTTGGTTCTCATGAGCTATGTATGTCGNTTTAAGAGTTTACAATATGTTAGAATGGAGGGTTGGTCTGAATAAATCAAAGTCTGTGTTCTGTCTGAATGGAGTTTCTTGAATATATTCGAGTAGTCTTGTATGACATTGTTGTTTTGAATCGAGTTTCTTGATATAGTTTTGTTCTTGTTTGGTTCTCATGAGCTATGTATGTCGTTTTTCTTTTGAATCAAGTAGCTTGAGTACGATTTGTTCCTGTTTTGTGTTCTTTGTCTCTCAGAATTATTGAATGTTAGGTGGTGAATCATTGAATGCTAGGTGGTTGATAACTCGTAGTAAATAGAATTGCTCGTTTAAGTCGAAATGCAATATGGCAGCACATGTTGCTTTAGGTTTGATAGAGTAATTAATAGAAAGTGAACTTATTGGTGTACTCGTATTTAGTTGTTAAAGTCGAGTTATTGAGGGCAGATATATGTCAAGTCGGGTTTGTTTGTAGTTAGGTAATTAATAAGTTGTAATTACTGCATTCACTCGTTAAATATATCTTCAATTCCTGAAACTTTTTCATTATCTTCTAACTACAACAAAACATGAATTAATTCTTATCCCTTTAGTGAGTCCGTAAACTTTGTTGACCTGCTTAGCAGGCAACAAAATGTTGTCTTTGGTAACGAGTCTCTCTCCTCCTCCCAAGCTCCCATCTTTGGCAGTCAAGGAGTCGAGGATTCAAACTTTGCTCGTGACACTGAGGATACTGAAGATGTTGTAGGCAGTCGTAAAGAAAGAAGAAGCTGGACGCCTACTGAGGATGTTGTCCTCATAAGCTCGTGGCTCAACACGAGCAAAGATCCCCTAATTGGGACTGAGCAAAAGTCGCTTGCATTCTGGACAAGAATAGCGGCGTACTACAATGCCAGTCCTAAGCTTGCTGGCCGTGAGAAGAGAGAGGCAGCTCACTGCAAAAACCGGTGGCAGAAAATCAATGATAGTGTTAGCAAGTTCTCTGGGGCGTAAGAGGCTGCGAGCAGAGCGAGAACCAGTGGACAAGGTGATGCTGATGTCCTCTCTGAAGCCCACAGTATCTTCACAGCTAACAACAAAAAAAAAAGATTCACCCTCGAGTACGCGTGGAGAGAGTTACGTCACGACCAAAAGTGGTGTGAGCTGTCTACGGCTAAAGCTAGTGGAAGCTCTAAAAAGCGGAAAGGTGTGGATATGGGGAGTTCTGCCAGCTCTAAAGCAACAGAACTCGAATCTGACGATGATGCAGGGACAACTCGTCCGATGGGAGTCAAGGCNAGCTAGTGGAAGCTCTAAAAAGCGGAAAGGTGTGGATATGGGGAGTTCTGCCAGCTCTAAAGCAACAGAACTCGAATCTGACGATGATGCAGGGACAACTCGTCCGATGGGAGTCAAGGCAGCAAAAGCGCGTGGTAAGAAGCCACAAGATGATGGAAAGGATCTGGCTGAGTTTGAGACCATGTGGACCGTGAAGAAGTCAGATATGACTTTCAAAGAAAGGTTGGCTAAGCTTAAAGTACTAGAGAGTCTCGTTGCAAAACAGGGTCCTTTAGATGATTGTAATCAATCTCTGAAAAAGCTCCTCGTTAAGGAGTTATGGAAACCGTAGATTGTATGCTTGTGTTGTCTCGTGATGCTTGAAATAACCTTGTTTGCCAAGTGGTAGTTGTCTTTGTTTCTTTTAATCAACTTTGTTTCGTTTGTATGTGTATTTTAATCTAAGTGTGTTTTTAATCTAAGTGTGTTTTTAATCTAACTGTGTTTCGTTTGATGTGTTTTGTTTCTGTTAATCAACTGTGTTTGATGTCTTTGTTCCAGGATGATGAAGGTTGAATAGGGTAGTGGGTAAACTTATTACCATCAGAGCCACGTACCATGTTCCGTTTGCAACGAACAGAAAACGTGGCACTGATAGTAATTAGTGTTCCCACTTCCTTGTTAAGTTGGACCGTGATGAGCATGAAGAATAGCAAATTTTTACAGAAGAATATTTTGTTGAGTTCTCTGACGTTTTGAGAAGTAAGTAAAGCTCAGTGTGTGTTTTCTTACTTTCTTATTTACACGTTTTCTTGCAGGTGGATCACTGAACCGTGACAGAAGAAGACATGTTGGGAGAGACAGAATAAAACCGTGACAGAAGAAGACAAGTTGTAACAACTTATTGTGTAATAATGTGACAGAAGAAGACAAGTTGTAACAACTTTTTTTTTGTAATCGTGACTTTTGTAATCAAATCTTGTTGTGTATATGTTTCACGTTTTTGCTTAAATGTCTACCTTGTAACAACTTCCTTTGTTATATTAAATGTTTCACGTATCACATGTGTTGAACAAGATCATATATCTCTCTCAAATCTCTCTCTCAAATCTCTCTCTCAATTCTCTCAAACCAAGATCATATCTCTCAAAGATTTCTCTCCCAAACCAAACAAACCAAGATCATATCTCTCTCAGATTTCTCTCCCAAACCAAACAAACCAAGCTCGTATCTTTCTCAAATCTCTCTCTCAAATTTCTCAAACCAAACAAACCTAGATCATATCTCTCTCAAATCAAACCTACATTATATGGCTTCTTCTTCTTCTCAAATCCCTTTAGACGAATCATTTGATGAAAGATTTGATGAAATCTTTGATCAAAAATTTGATCAAAAGTTTGATCAAGTTTTTGAAAGATTAACTATTCGTCATAATGAAGAAGAACGAAGGAAGAAAAAGAAAAAAAAAGAACTTATATCGACAGGCATCGTGAAGAAGGCAATGTACGTTTATGGAATGATTATTTCAGTGAAACTCCAACGTATCCCCACAATTTTTTCCGGCGACGATTTAGAATGAACAAGACGTTGTTCTTGCACATTGTGAATCGAATCTCCAACGAAGTTGATTTCTTTCGCCAAAAGACTGATGCTCTTGGAAGACAGGGTCTCTCACCATTACAAAAGTGTACAGCCACCATTCGTGTTTTGGCATATGGTAGTGCGGCTGATATGGTGGACGAATACCTCCGGCTCGCTGCAACGACAGCTCGGTCATGTTTGGAGCATTTCGTGGAGGGAATAATTAATTTGTTCGGGGATGAGTACCTTAGAAGACCGACACCGGCTGATCTTCAACGTCTACTTGATGTTGGAGAGTATCGTGGATTTCCCGGGATGATAGGAAGCATCGATTGTATGCATTAGGAATGAAATAATTGTCCCACCGCTTGGAAAGGGAAATATTCTCGTGGTTCGGGCAAGCCAACAATCGTTTTAGAAGCCGTTGCTTCATACGATCTCTGGATATGGCATTCATTTTTTGGACCTCCAGGTACCTTAAATGATATCAATGTTCTTGATCGCTCACCTGTTTTTGATGACATAATTCACGGTCATGCTCCGCAAGTCACTTACTCCGTCAATGGAAGAGAGTATAATTTGGCTTACTACCTCACTGATGGTATTTATCCCAAATGGGCAACCTTTATCCAATCTATTTCAATACCACAAATGCCGAAAGATACTTTATTTGCTCCACGTCAAGAAGCTGTCCGAAAAGATGTCGAGCGTGCTTTCGGGGTCTTGCAAGCTCGTTTTGCCATTGTTAAAAATCCAGCACTTTTTTGGGATAAAGTCAAAATTGGGAAGATTATGAGAGCATGTATCATACTCCATAATATGATAGTAGAATACGAACGAGATGCCTACACTCAGTTTGATGTTTCAGAGTTCCAACACGGAGAAGACACCGGAAGTTCACATGTCGATCTCACGTATTCTACAGATATCCCTTCAAATATTGCCGATAGGTTAGGTGTTCGAATTAGAATTCGTGATACTCAAATGCATGCACAACTAAAAGCTGACTTGGTTGAACATGTGTGGCGTAGATTTGGACGTGATGAAGACGACACTTGAGCTCAGATCTTTTTTAAAAAATTATTTTCTATTATCGCTAATCTTTGTTTCTATGTTTGTATTTCAAATTCTATGTTTTAAATGTAAGCTTTTATTATTTCTTATATAATTAATAAAAAATATCTTAAATTTAATTTTTTTTTTTTTTTTTTTTAAGAAACCCAAAATAAGCAACTTGCATTGGACGCACAAAATTTGACAGGTGCTTAGCGTTGGTTCTTAAACCACTTTTACAACTAAAAATTATTAAACAAAGATTAAGCACTCCTAAATAAGCACTGCCATTGAACATGCTCTAAGAATGATCATAAGGTATTCTTTATTTTCTAGTTTCACAAGAAAAAGGAAGCCAACGATTTAACAATATTTTCAACCAATATTCAAAAAATTGTTAGGCTGTAACTAGACGCTTTATTGATTTATTTTATATATATTTTACATTTGTAATTTATTGAATTTTATGTACATTATGCTATATATGTTGTTGTTTAATATTTAACTAAATTTTGATCCGCGCAACCGTGCAGGTGTTTGTATTCGTTTATAGTTTGTTATACAAATATTTTGTTTTCACTTGTAAATTGGTATATATTATAGTAATCACATATTTTTATAATGTATAGTAAATGTTTTTCAAACATAATAATATTATATAATACGTGTTTTAATCAAATAGATTGTTTCAAACATATGTTTGTTTCTTCTTCTATATTTTATTGTTAGTTAGATTGATATTTCATTTTTAGATTGATATTTCATTTTTACATATAATTAAATATTATATTTTTATATCATAATGTTTTAATTTAGATATGTATATTAAAATATAAAATTATTTCTTTTTAAGTATCTTATGGTAGTATTTTGTTATTTTGTAAATGTAATTCATTTAATTTATAATTTATAAAGTAGATTAATTTATATTATAATTATAATTTTGTGTAATTTTTAGTTACAAATATGAAATATTTATATGTAAATTTTATAGAAGGTTATTTCTTATTCTATAAATCAAAATGAGTTGATATTCATTTATAATTTAATTTTATATTATTTTACTTTTTATTATCAAAATTATATTAAAAAATAAATATCTATTTTTAAAATAAAAATATATTAAAGATATTGTTAAATGTAATCTGAAAAAATAGTTAAGAGTATCTTTTTGATATCTTATTTTGAATATATTTAAATATTATATTAATATTATGTTTTTATTTAATAATAACTAAGTTTGTTGTATGTAATATAACATAAAATTAAATAAATGTAATGTTTTAAGGTAGACTATTTGGAAGTAGATAAGAAATGCTTCTGTTTTAATAGTATTGATATGATATATGTAAGGAATGATTTCATGCATGTGAACATATTCACTGAGGATTTTGCTTCGAAGCTCCACACCATATATGCTTCTTTTGTCGTCTTGCTTAAACTTTATAGCCTAGAAAAGGACTCCTGCTTCGCAGAGCTTCTACACCATCTTTGATGAATGTATCCAAGATGTGAGCGTGAATTGCCAAAAATGCTCTGCACATCGCTGTGATGAATGACAGATTTGAAGTTGTCCAAGTCCTCACCGGATGCATCCAGCGAAAGATCAAGAGAACCTCCACCGAGATCAAAGTTGCTAGAATGCCGGTCGGTGTCGTGAAAATAAATTAAACGTTGATGATTAACATGTATACATCCAACTACCAGACATCCAATAAACAATGGGAATTCGGCCAAAAAAACACTGAACTATATTTGACGTTTGCTAAAACAGTTAAAAACGACGTCATTTTGAGATGAGATGAAACGACATCGTCGTTTTACCTGTTTTTATTATTAAAAATATGTTGACTACTTGAGTCGATTCTATGAACTCAAGGCCAAGTAACAAAGTTTTTAGTCACTAGACTAGTGACACATTTAACGATATCTCTAACCTGTTTTCTTTTATTGAGTATAAAAAAAATCAAAATATTATTTTTTTTTTAAATTCCAAAAAATCTTAAGAACTTAAGAAAATTCTGTAAAGGTAAAATTAGAATTGAAATTACAAAGATTTTTTTGTTTAAAAAAGCAAAACATTAAAATTTCAAAAAATCTAAAATAATTCAAAGAAATGCAACAAACTAAATTTAATGATTAAAAATTTGAAACCTATTTTTATATAAATTAATGTATGTAAGATAAAATAGAAAAATGATATTAATGACACTATAGATTTTATACATTTGGAACAATATAATAATTAAACGAAAAACATTTGTAGTTCTTGGTGTATGTTCGTTCGTTATCATATCTTAGTAACAATTTTTTTAGTATTTTTAGAAAACCAAAATTTTTTTAAAAACATATATTGTGATAATTATAATTTTTATATTTTATCTCAAATATATTAATTTATAAAAAACAAAAAATGTATATAAAATTAAAAAATTAAAAATCTACAAAATCTAAATGAAAAAAATTAATATTAACGATTAAAATAATTTGAAAACTCTTATATAAATGAACACATGTAAGATAATATACAAAATTATATTTATCCCACTATATTTTTTGTATGATGAATGTATTTAAGATAAAATACACAAATGATCTTAGATGCTTTAATTATTAGTTTTTTTTAGATTTTTTAGATTTTATGAATTTTTTAATTAATTTTAGCGAAAATATAAATTTATTTGTAATTTAATTTTTAATTTTAATATTTTCGGAATTTTTCTTGATTTTTTGAATTTTTTTAAATTTTAAGGTTTATAAAGATTTTTTCGATACTCAATAATAAAAAATATGATAGAGATTTCATCAGAAGTGTCATTAGCTTAGTGGCAAAAGATCATGTTGTTTGGCTTTGAGTTCTTGAAAAGCACACAAAACGACGCAACGGCGTCTAAACTGTAAGATAACGGTATGCTAAAATGGCGAGTCAATCACAAGTTCTCAAATAAATTAAAAAAAGACAACGAAAGTACATTATTTTTTTGGTCAGAGTTCAGGTTTTATTTAGTAATTCGTGTAAAGTTCGTGTTTTTTTTTTTTGCTGAATTCTCAATAAACAATGCAATAAGGTTTATATAAATTATTATCAAAAAACAACCAATCATAAAGGACAAACATTCTGATTATCTCTAGAAGACAATGTAATCATATAATATCAATAAGTCAGACTAAACTAATATCAAGCTTCAGACTGAAAGAGTGAGAGACAGGGCTAGACAATTATGATACACAAATCTAACGAGCAAATAATTGGTAGAGAATCAACACGGATGGACATTCATGATTACTTTTCCCAGGTTCAACTAAAAAAGACATCTATTCCCGGATCACTATTCTTCTATGGGTGATTTGTTGGGCTGATTCATGGAAGCTTTGTTGTAGTTGTTGTATTTGTTGAGTATTGGGGCTGATAAATTATTTGAACTCGGCTCCAATTTATGAAGAGCTCTTGTTGACAAGGATGGGCATATCATTGATTGATAAGATGGCGTGTGGTGTGGTAGGAAACTCTTTAGGACCCACCTAGTGTACATACGGTAATAAACCATATGTGACGACAAGATTGAATGATTCTTGCTTTGAAACTTCCTGGTAGCCAGAATATGTTAGAAAAAAAAATTACAATAGATAGAGTTTCTGCCTACCTATACTTTTACTGTATGATTAATCTTACTGAGTGCCAGAATCTCTCTCTCTCTCTCTCTCTATGGATCGAAGACTTCAACAGGCTGCTGAATCAGGTAGCATCAGTGACTTTTATGCTTTGATCGATGAGAATCCGTACATACTTGAGAACATCGATGCCATACCATTTGTGAACACTCCCCTTCACATAGCTGCATCTTCTGGTAAAATTGCGTTTGCCGTAGAGATGCTGAATCTTAAGCCTTCTTTTGCCAAAAAAATTAATACAAACGGGCACAGTCCATTGCACCTTGCTGTGGAGAATGATCATCAAGAGTTCGTGACCTGGCTGCTCAGGCTTGATCCCACCCTTGCTGGCGTTAAAGGTAGAGAAGGCATCACGCTGTTTCATCTCCTAGTGTTAAGAGGGAACGTAGATCTTGTGGTACAGTGCCTCTTAACTTCCCCTGAATGTATTCAAGATGTGAGCGTGAATGGCCAAAATGCTTTGCATCTTGCTGTGATGAATGAAAGATTTGAAGTTCTGCAGGTTCTCACCGGATGGATCCAGAGAATGAGTCAGAAAAATGCTCGATCTATTGAGTATTCTGTTCTGAATAAGATGGATTTAACTCGCAACACGCCTTTGCACCTTGCAGCATATAAGAATGATCATCAGGTATGCTTTTATTTTCTAGTTTCACAAGAGAAAGGAACCCAAGATTTAACAATATTTTCAACCAATGGGAAAATACTATGAAGATATTCGGACCTAAGACGCATTATTGATTTATTTTACATATAATTTACATTTATATAATATGTTTAATTTTTTTTTTAATTATAAAACTATTTTGATGAACTATCAAAAGTAGATATTGTGTTACATGGAAACATAAGCGGATATGCAGAAGCAGAAGCACGGAATCGAGATTTAAAAGAAAAAATAAAGGAAGCAGATAAGTGTTGGAAGCGTATATCCAAATATACATATATAATTATATATATATATATAAATATAAGATTTTTTTAAAAAAAATTAAAACTAAATATTATATATTCTAATTTAAAATAAAACATTTATTCATTTATCATAATTTTAAATGACTGCATATTATAACTATGAAAATAAGGATAAATAAAGTTCATAAGCAAATATTATCAGTTAGTTATTTTTTACATTTTATAAATAATTGACACACCATATTTCAATATATATATATATATACATATATATATATATATATCTAATAAAAAGCAGTTCATACATATTATTTATAGTATTAACATATATATATTCTCACTATATATACTAGTATATACTATAAAAACATTAAAATGATATTATATTTTATTTATATATATGATATTGTGTTTTTAAAATTGGAAACGTGATTCCAAAGTGGAATCTTCCAACGTATTTTTATATAGGATATTTTAGAACCGTTTTGGAATTGAGATTCCACAAGTTTCCACAAGGTTCCGATTCTGATTCCAGTTCCGAAGCGAGAATCGCATGTCCGATGAAGCTTCCGTGCAACGTAGACAAAACAAAAGATATTAGAGAAGTTTGTGAATTTAGATCGAGTAACCTGATTTAATACAGTTAAAACCGATTTAAAATGATCTAAACCGATTTGATTTAAAGTGTATAAATAAAATTTTATGAAATTTATTTCGGATGTTACCGATTTACCGTCTAGACGTTGCCTATTTTATGCAGATGGTGAGACTGTTACTAGAATGTCGAATGGTTCAACGGAACGAAATAAATGGTGAAGGTTTAACATTCCTTGATATCTTAAGAACAGAGGGACAACTTGATGAAGGTGGAGAGTTGGAACAAGCTGCTCTAAAAACCGGGTGCAAGGAAGCAGCTTCTCTGCCAAAACCGACGAAAACGTATGATTTCTTCAAATCACCAATCACATTTTGGGCTTACTGCTCCACGCATACAAGACGCATAAGTTCCGACACATCAGACGAAGCTCGTGGAGTGTTCTTAATCATATGCACTTTGCTAATCACAGCCACTTACCAGACCTCCCTCCAGCCTCCAGGAGGTGTCAACCAATCAGAGGGTCATGCAGTGATGAAACAGACATTCTTCATCGTCCTATGGGTTTCCAACACTATAGGCTTTTGTTGCGCTATATTCTACACCTATTCTCTCTTACCAGCTAGAGGTTTGTTGACGCTGTGGTTTTTCTACATAGGAGCGTCTCTGTGCGTTTCTTACGCGTTGGGAATGGCTGTAATCTCACCACAGCCTTTAGTTTTTCTTACCGCGTGCTTTGCCTTGTACCTGCTTTTTCCTCTGTATGTTTTGATGGAAGTTTTCCTAAGGCAATGGCGGAGGCATCAGACGGTAACACCTGATCGCAATTTGAGCTGGTTTTGGAAAGTTTGATACAACATGTGTCGTCGCTATTACTATAGACTACAGGAGAACGGAGGATTCTGAGAAGGTAAAAGACGAAACCCTCAAACATATGCCATATCCTTGTGAATTTTTTTTTTAATTGCAATAATATCCAGTTTGTAATGAATTAGCTTTAGTTCAATAATAATTGTGGTATATGTAATGATTCCATGCATGTTAAAATAATTCACCTTTTAGTATGGTTCACTTTGTTCTTACTGATTCAGTATGATGTATTAGAATTTTTTTTTTGGCACATTAGAGAAGAATCAGTATGGTATGTCTCCTCTTTTTACAGTCTCTGTTATCATAACACCCTTCAAGCTTTTTGTTATTGTTGTTATTACTCCTGTAGCTTGGGGGGATATGTAGGTTTTGTTTGATGTGCTCAGCTTTTGGAGGTGTGATCTTCACGCATTGTACGTGGAACCATTTCTCAGAAACATTGTGTACCATATACAATCAATTGTGCTGTGATTCGTAAAAGCGTTGTAACTGTTGAGTTTTGCCGGTGACAAAACTTTTCTTGAACTAGATCCAAATCTAATCATTTGGCTTTCAAACATGTATATATATATACATGCAATTGCCTGAATGTGGAAATACATTCCCATGCATGAAATCATTACGTCCTTATGGATATAAAAATATATAGAAGGCAATTTATTGCAAAACTGAAAGTTATTGTAAATTAAAAAAAAATAGGGAAAACAAGGGACATGGCATATGTTTTGAGGGTTGCATCTTTTACCTTTCTGTTGACAAAAAAAAAAGAAGCATATTTTACCTTTTCAAAAAGCCTCTCTTCTTCTGTAGTAAAAGTGAAATATGTTGGTATCATCAAACCTTCCTAAACCAGCTCAATCGGGGCACAAGACCCACAGTCAGATGATTCCTCCAATTCTCAAAGAAAATTTCAGACACGAGATAGAGAGCAAAGAGCAGGAAGAAAGCGAAGGTGGTGGAGAGAAACACTAAAGGATGCGGTGAGATAACTGCCATGGCTAGAGCATAAGAAATGCACAGAGATCCCCCAATCCAAAAGAACCAACATGCCAGCCTACTACCAAGCGGCATGAGACAAAACGTGTAGAGTATAGCGCAGCAGAATCCGACCGTGTTAGAAATCCAAAGAAGGATGAAGAATGTCTGTTTCATCACCACGGAACCCGCATTCGAATCCTCAGATTGGTGTACGCCTCCTGGAGGCTGGAGTGCAGTCTGATAAGTTGCTGTTATTATCAAAGTGCATATAATCAGGAACACTCCACGAGCTTCATCTGATACGTTAGACCTTTCGCGTTTCATGAACGTGGAGCAGAAAGTCCCGAAAGTGTGTGGCGATTTAAAAGTCTCAAACCTTGCCTTGGCTCTTGGCACCGAAGCCGCCTTTTTACACCCGGTGTTTACAACAACTTGTTCCAAATCCTGGTCCTCCTCTCCTGGTCCCTGGCTTCTTAAGCCTCCACCTGCCTCCTGATCTCTCTGTTCTTGGTTTCTTAAGATGTCAAGGAAAGTTAAACCCTCACCATTTACTTTGTTCCGCCGAACCAACCGACATTCCAATAACAGCCTAACCGCCTGCGCAAACAATGGATATAAAAATGATTCTTGTAGGAATCTCACACATAGTTCATGAAGCTACATAACACAAGGATGCTATTTAGTTTCTAATGACTAAGATCAATGTTTTTAAATTCTTAAAACAAAAGAACAAATAAATTAGAAAAATTCTCTAAGAAATACCTAAAAAAATTTTTATCATAAATATAGACTTTAAAAATAAAAAATAATAAAAATAAATTTAAATGTTTTATCAAAAATAAGTTAATGTACACTTAAATGTTTTGAGGATAGGGTTTCAAATTTAAAAAAAAAATAAAAAAAAAACTTAAACTTTTAAAATAAAAAAATGCTATTTTGGTTATTTGAATTTTTGAAGTATATTTTTGTGATAAAAAAATTTAAAAAGGTCTATTTAATAGAGTTACCCAAGAAATAATTCATAATTTTATTATTAATCAAATCATAAACTTAATGCAATTCTAACAAGGAAAAATATATATATATATATCTATACTATTATTTGCGAAGTGATTTTTCGCAACGGAGCTCTCACGTTAAAAGTTAGAGCGGTTAATATATATTTTACCCTTAATGAAATTTTTATATATAACTAATTTTATAATTAAAAACGAAATTTAAAAAATAAAATTAGATAAGTACAGTATGTTATTATTTTAGATAATAAAGAATAATTAATATAATAAGTTTATAAAAAAAAAAACAAGATAATTCTTATATTATCTGAATATAATATTGTAACAACATGATAATGCTTATAGATCTTAATTTTATATAAAATTGATTTTGGCTTTTAAAAATGATATCATTATATTATATTATTTAAAAATTAAAATATAAAATTGATTTTAATTAAATATTAATCAAACAAAAACATTTGTATAAAGATACTTTTAATTATATAGTTAAATATTATGTATTAAAAATTGGAATGGTTCAAGTTAATGATATCTTTAATGAAATTTATATATTTATATATAAATTAATTAAAACCAAATTTTAATTTATATGTTATTATATTAGTTATTTTATTATAAATTAATAGGATAATTATCCACATTCATGCATATTTAAAACATAAGATATCTTATAGAATATCATACAATTATCTGAAAATAATCTTTTTATTGGGAAAAATAAAAAGGTAAGTTATAAAACAATTTAAAATTAAATATTAAGAAAAAAATATAAATATATTTTCAAAAATGTTTTATTATGTGGATGTTTTTCAACACTATAATAAGCATATAGATTTTGATGAAAATCATATAAAATATTTTAATGTTTGATTTAGGTTTTTTAAAACTATAGAAAATAACTTATAGTATTATTTTAGAATTAATAAAACAAAAAATAATAAATATTCGTAAGAAAATTATGCCCGCATATGTGGGCACAACACCTAGTATATTATTATTTGCGAAGTGATTTTTTGCAATGGAGCTCTCAAGTTAAAAGTTAGAGCGGTTAATATCTATTTTACCCTTAATGAAATTTTTATATATAACTAATTTTATAATTAAAAACGAAATTTAAAAAAATAAAATTAGATTAGTATGTTATTATCTTAGTTTAATTAATAGAATAATTATCCACATTCATGCATATTTTAACATAAGATATCTTATAAAATATTATATAGTTATCTGGAAATAATCTTTTTGTTATGAAAAATAAAATGTAAGTTCTAAAATAATTTAATATTTAATATTAAGAAAAAATATAAATATATTTTAAAAAATATTTTAATATCTGGATGTTTTTCAACACTATAATAAGTATATAGATTTTGATGAAAATTCATATAAAAATATTTTAATGTTTGATTTAGGTTTTTTTTAGAGCAATTTAGGTGAAAACCAAAGAAAGATTGCAAAATTAGGAGAATACCAAAGAGAAGAAAAGTAGGGTGCACGTGGTCACTGTAGTGGAGTTAAAAAGACGAAATTGTCCTGCCCGGTGGATGTTTTGCTTTCCCAGATTTCTCACTTGTCTCTTGTCTCTTGTTTCTGACCGAAGATTATTGCTACATTTGGATAACTTCAACCACTTAGCCGGGTATAAGTTCATATTACATGGATAATAACTAGTATAGTCGGAAACGATTAAATCTAAACCCTAGATCATTAAAGTATGTTTCTCGATGATCTCAATCAATTTCTTGAATGGTGAAACCCTTAATACTGATCTAGTTTCTCCAACAGATAAATATATGATAGTTTCAGTCACTTGGCCGGTTACAAATTCATATTACATAGATAATAACTAGTATAGCCGGATACGATTCAATCTAAATCTTAAACCCTAAATCATTAAAGTAGGTTTCTCAACGATCTCAATCCATTTTCCGAATGGTGAAACTCTTAGTACTGATCTAATATCCCTAACTGATAAATATAGGATAGTTTCAGTCACTTGGCCGACTACAAATTCATATTAGATGGATAATAACTTGCATAGCCGGATACAATTATAAATAATGTCACATATAAACTTTTACTCATCTAGCAAATGGTCAAGTATAAACCTAACAAAAAACGGGGAAACCATGTACCCTCAAGTCTTAAAGCCTGAACTAGTACAACGTATCACCTAAACCTTAAAAGCAAAACCCTAAACCCTAATTCTTAAACCCAAACCCTTGGATATCTCCCAACCCTAATTCCTTAACACAAATCCCTTATATTACAATTGCTCCTAAATCCTTAGTACTCGTCCAATACCCCCAACATATAAATATAGGATAGATTCGGCCACTTGACCGGCTACGATTTAAAATTACGTGAAAAAAATAGTTTAACCGGCTAACCAATATATGTTGCACATCTATTAGATGGATTACCCAGATACAAAAAACTTTGTTAATGTAAACATTATAAAAAATAAGTTAAGAAATTATGTTTCTGAGTAATCCAACTATGTTTCATGTCTAATATGTTGTCAAACTAGGTAAACTTTCTTATTTAAATTGAAAAATATTTTTTAAACACCTATGTGGGTATAAAAATATGGCATTCTAAATAAAAAGAATAGTATAGCCGGCTAACAAAATATGTCGCATATCTATATATTGATTAAACCAAATACTAAAATTTTGATGATGTAAACACTAAATAAATAATAAGTTAAGAAATTTGTTTTCAGATAATGCAACTATATTTTATGTCTAATACGTTGTCAAGCTTTATTCAAATTGAAAAATAATTAAGTGATGTATCATCTCTGTCAAATCCAAAAGAGAATTGCAACAAAGAAAAAAACTTCATCAATCTTAGGAGTTCCAATTCCAAGTCCTATCAATTTTTCAAGAACAAATTGTTTCTAGGTGAGAAAGAAAGAGAAACAAAGATGAAAGATAAAAGATGAAAGATGAAAGATGAAAGAGAAAGAAAGGTACTGACAATAAAGATATAGAATATCTTGTGTATCTCTCACTCCTCTTCCGTCGAAATATATGGTTGCCCGCTGGAGTTGGTCAGGTGGAAGGAGAATTCAGAAAAGGATAACAGAGTCATTTTGTTTGTGTACAGTAAGGTGTCTTTTTTCTCTTTGATATTTTGCAAATTATGACAAACTTCTTTGGTAGGAGCGCAAATTTCTCTTTTTTTTTTAACTATAGAAAATAACTTATAATATTATTTTAGAATTAATAAAAAAAAAAATATTCATAAGAAAATTATGCCCGCATATGCGGGGACAACACCTAGATAATTAAACTATTAAAAATCATTAAGATAAATCTAAGTAATTAAAATAAATAAACTAGATAATTGATATATCCAAATATCTCTCAGCATCTTCAGTCATCATTCAATTATTACTTAACTTTTAGATGGAAGACAATCCACTTCACATGGTACAAACTTGCTTTTGTTTATAGTGTTAAATAAGAAGAAAAGAAAACATGCCTGATGATCATTCTTAGATGCTGCAAGGTGCAAAGGCGTGTTGTAGTCAATATCCACTTTATTCAAAAAACGATACTCAATGGAGCCAGCGTCTCTTTGGCTCGTTCTCTGGATCTATCCGATGAGGACTTGGAGAACTTCAAAACTTTCATGTATCACAGCGAGATGCAGAGCATTCTTGAGATCTACGCTCTCATCTTCGATACATTCAGGAGAACTAAAAAGGCACTCTCCCACAAGATATGCGTTCCCTCTTAACACTAGTAAAAGAAACGGTGTGATGCCGTTTCTTCCTTTCACACGGGCAAGGCCTTTATCAAGCCAGAGCATCCTGGCGACAAAACGATCTTGATCCATGTATGCAGCAAGATGCAAGGGACTGTACCCGCTTGTGTTGAGCTTTCTTGCAAAAGAGGGCTTAAGGTTCAGCATCTCCATGGCAAATGGTATGTTCCCACAAGCTGCAGCTACGTGGAGGGGAGTGTTCACAAACGGTACTGCATCAATGTTCTCAAGTATGTATGGATTCTCATCCATTAGAACATAGAGCTCATCGATGCTTCCTGATTCAGCTGCTTGTTCAAGTCTTGGATCCATTGGAAAAACAAGTCTTAAGGTTTATTATTGAACTAAACTCTGCAAGATTGATGAAGTTAATGTGAAGTGACTTTTATAGACAGAGAAGAACCAAACGTTCTAGTTTCGTTTTATATTATATTAGAGCACCCGCAACAAGGGATCCTTAGGAAGAATACTTAGGAAAAAAAAAAGGACATTTTGGATTATATAAGGATATTTTAAATTTTTTCTTTAAAAAAAAACTGACCAATCGCAGACCGATACGTAGGCAGTGGAGCCCGCGAATAGTGTAAAGATCAATCCTTAAATAAGGATTTTAAGGATAGAATCCTTAACTGTTCATAAGACCCCTTGATTATAAAATTAATATTTTTTTAAGGATTCTCCCTAAAGGCTTCTTGTTGCGGGTGCTCTTATGGCCTCGTTACCTGCAATACAGTTTTATATAAATTCTTGAAACAAAAGAAAATGTTGATTTTAAGGGTTTTAGGCGGGAGTGTCGGAGCAAGAACCGATGGGTATGTGAGTTGACTTAAAGAAAAGGGCGAGTTTTCACATATAAGAGAAACAATAAAGAAAGACCATTGACCAACCACTTCTGAGGATATTTATTCCCACATGATGTTCATAAAAGCTCTATATCCAACTAGCATTTTCTTAATTAATCCCTTTGCTTACCCACCACCCACACATAATCATCCATACAAGCAAAGCGATCTACTTATGGGTTTCTTATTCTTTCGAATATTTTATAGCCCTGAGCCTCTGCAAGCTGTCAAGACGGCAGTGTAAGTCAGACTCCATGCCAACTAGTCTTTTCTTTTTTGGCAAAGGCATCAAACTTGACCGTTCACAACTCTTAAAGCATGATAAAACTCACTAAACACACCAAGATTTTTATTAAAAGCGTTGTAACTGTTGAGTTTTGCCTGGTGGCAAAACTTTTCATGAACTAAATCCAAATCTAATCATTTGGCTTTCAAACATGTATACATGCAATTGCCTGAATGTGGAAAGACAGAGAATAAAAGAGAGCATGAAGTAGCTTAGAAGACTCCACGAGCTTCGTCTGATGTGTCGGAACTTATGCGTCTTGTATGCGTGGAGCAGTAGGCCCAAAATGTGATTGGTGATTTGAAGAAATCATACGCTTTCGTCAGTTTTGGCAGAGAAGCTGCTTCCTTGCACCCGGTTTTTAGAGCAGCGTGTTTCAAGTGTCCATCTTCATCAAGTTGTCCCTGTGTTCTTAAGATATCAAGGAATGTTAAACCTTCACCATTTATTTCGTTCCGTTGAACCACTCGACATTCTAGTAACAGTCTCACCATCTGCATAACCATCAGTCACTACGTTGAAAACAAGGTTCTAAAAATCGCTATGTGAAGGGGAGTGTTCACAAATGGCATGGCATCGATGTTCTCAAGTATGTACGGATTCTCATCGATCAAAGCATAAAGGTCGTTGATGCTACCTGATTCAGCAGCCTGTTGAAGTCTTCGATCCATACAGAGAGAGAGAGAGAGAGAGATTCTGGCACTAAGTAAGATTAATTATACAGTAAAAGTATAGGTAGGCAGAAACTCTATCTGTTGTAGTTTTTTTTTTCTTATCATATTCTGGCTACAGGGAAGTTTCAAAGCAAAATATGGTTTATTACCGTATGTACACTAGGTGGGTCCTAAAGAGTTTCCTACCACACCACACGCCATTTTATCAATCAATGATATGCCCATCCTTGTCAACAAGAGCTCTTCATAAATTGGAGCCGAGTTCAAATAATTTATCAGCCCCAATACTCAACAAATACAACAACTACAACAAAGCTTTCATAAAAGAATAGTCATGTCTTTTTAGTTCAACCTGGTACGAGAAGCCGCTCCTTCTTATGGCTCCATATTATAGGCCTGTGAAAAGTAAATGTCCATCCATCATGTTTCTTTGACATTAGTTTGATTAGGCTTATTAATATTATACTATATTTTGGTTGTCTTCTAGAGATAAGTAAAAATGTTTATCCCTAATGATTCGTTGTTTTTTTGAAAAAAAAAGTTTAGTAGCCTCAATGCATTGTTTATTGGATGTCTGGTAGTTGTGGCTGTATAGTTATGGTTTTATATTCCTTTCTCCAGCAGAAGACATCCTTTGGGCTAATGGTTTAGTGGTTTGGTAGTAAGAGACAGAAAAGTGTAGAATAGAAGGGAGCTGAAGCCTCTTACAGTGTTGGCAACCCAAATAAGGATGAAAAAATTATATTCTACATCACCACGGAACCTGCATTGCCAAGATTGGATTGGTGTAAACCTCCGGGTAGGCTGGAGTAGAGTCTGATAAGTGGCCGTTATTTTTCTAAAGTGCATACAAATCAGAAACACTCCAGGAGCTTCATTTCGACCTTTGGCCTCTCAAGACCGTGGAGCAGCACGTATGTCTAGAAAATGACTGGCGATTTTAGAAGATCAGACAACGAAGTCCTTTCGAGTCTCGACCCCCGGTTCTTAAGATGCAAGACATGTTAAACCATGCATCACCATTTATTTTGTTTTTATCACAGCAAGGTGCAGAGCATTTTTGGCAATTCACGTTCACATCTTGGATACAATCAGCAAAGATGGCGTAGAAGCTTCTTTGAAGCAGGAGTCCATTTCTAGGCGATAAAGTTTGAGCAAGAGGGACAATAGAAGCATAGATGGTGTCGAGTTTCGAAGCAAAATCCTCAGTGAATATTTTCACATGCATGAAAGCATTCCTTACATAGATCATCATATTAAATATTAAACAACAACATATATATAGCATATTACACATAAAATTCAATAATTTACAAAACTGAACATTATTACTATTTAGAAAAATGCTTCTTCCAGTGGAATACGAAAACAACAAACAACATAGAGAGAGGAATGAGGAGGAAGGAGGCTAAGGTCGCAGAGAGAAACGGTAGAGGGTGCAGTGAGATTACTGCCATTGCTAGAGCATAGGAACCGCATAGAGATGTCCCAATCCACAAAAACCAATTTCCAAACAAACGATTAAATGGTAGGAGACATAAGGTGTAGAAGATAGCGCTGCAGAAGCCTATGGTGTTGAAAAGCCAAAGATAGAGGAAGTTTGACTGGTCCATCATCACGGTACCAGCATTTGGATCCCCGGATTGGCGCAAACCTCCGGGAGGCTGGAGGGCAGTCTGGTAAGTGATTGTTATTATCAAAGTGCATACAATCAGATACACTCCACGAGATTCGTCTGAGGTGTTAGCCTTTACGCGTCTCATGAATGTGGCGTAAAATATCCAGAAAGCGAGGGGTGAGTTATAATTCTCAAACCTTTTCTTGGATCTTGGCAGGGACGCCTTCTCTTTACACCCGGTTTTTGCAGCAACTTGTTTCAAATCCAAGTCCTCTCCTACGACTCTCGGTCCCTGGCTTCTTAAACTTTCATCAGTGCCTCTCTGTTCTTGGGTTCTTAAGATGTCAAGGAAAGTTAAACCTTCACCATTTACTTTGTTCCGCTTAACCAACCGACATTCCAATAACAGCTTAGCCATCTGCACAAATTGGATCATCATCAAATTAGGAAAAAAAAAGGAGTCCTGATTTAATTTATAGGAATCTACCATAGTTCCCTCGCTCATTGTTGCTTAATTTTGAGATGGGAACTTCACATGGTAGAACTTGATTTTGATATATAGTTTTAAATAAGAATTGAAGAGGAAAAGAAAGCATGCCTGGTGATCATTTTTATATGCTGCAAGGTGCAAAGGCGTGTTCTTGTTAAGATCCAATCCATTTAGAACACTTTTCTCAATGGAGAAAGCATTTCTTTGGCTCATTCTCTGGATCCATCCGGTGAGGACTTGGAGCACTTCAATTTTATCATTAATCACAGCAAGGTGCAGAGCATTCTGGTCATTGACGCTCACATCTTGTATACATTCAGGGGAAGTACGGAGGCACCTTTTCACAAGAGCTGCGTTTCCTCTTGACACTAGTAAAAGAAACGGCGTGATGCCGTTTCTCCCTTTAAAGCGGGCAAGACCATTATCAAGCCTCACCATCCTGTTGACAAACTCATCTTGATCCATGTATGCAGCAAGATGCAATGGACTGTGCCCGTTTGTGTTCAGCTTTCTCGCAAAAGAGGGCTTAAGATTCAGAATCTCCATGGCAAACTCTATGTTCCCCGAAGCTGCAGCTACGTGGAGGGGAGTGTTCACAAACGGTACTGCATCAATGTTCTCAAGTATGTATGGATTCTCATCAATAAGAGCATACAGCTCATCGATGCTTCCAGATTCAGCTGCTTGTTCAAGTTTTGGATCCATTGGAAAGAAAGTTTTAGGGTTTATTATTGAACTAACTCTGAAAGACTGATGAAGTCAAGTGAGGTGACTTTATAGACAGAAAAGAACCAGCGAGTAAGAGCAACTCCAACTGTTCATAATTAAAATTCAAAGAAAAAATAATAAAAACTTGAGAGAGATTAAAGATTTATAATCTTTAAACCCATCATTTTTTATAAAAAGTTAACAAAAATTAAAGTAAATATATAAATTAAGATTTAAAACGTTAAGATTTTAGATATATAATTAAATTTATAGTTTATAGTTTGAATAAAAATATTAAATATACCAAATAACTGAAATATACTATTAATAATTTTTATTTTGAAAAGGACCCATAAATAAATTGAGAAGGCCCTTGAAAAGTAATAGTTCTATGTGAATTAGGTTCTATGTGAATCTGCCGGATGTCATGATGTTAACATTTCAACTGTCATAACAAAACAAATCTATTATAATATTAATATATACCTTTTTTTTTCTTTTAGGCACCTTCGTTAGTTCTTCCGATAAGGCGATAAGGTTGCTCTTAAGTGTAGGGGGTTGGTACAGATGGAATATAAGTGTTTTTTGAAGTATTTATGATCCGATCCTTTCATTGAAATAATCAATTATTTAATTTGCTTCTATAGCCAAATATTCAGTGTTCTAGATATCAAAAAACAATATATTTTAATCAGATATTCAATATGATCAGTTAAAAAAATTAAATAAATAAATAGAAATTAGAAAACAATAATAGGTTATTACAAAAAAATAATTTACTTTTTAAAATTATAATAACTAATAGAATAAATTTAGTAAATAAAATTATTATCAAACTTAAACAAATATATTATTTATATAACATATATATATAGTGGTTGACCTATATGTATATAAATGCATATAACATATCAGATTGGATATACGTTCCTAATTTTTTTAATATTTGTAATTACTTCATTTTTTATGATATTTGCTTTGTTCCGTTGGGTTACGAATATCCAATTTTTTGGTTCAAATCAAAACATATACCAATTGAATCAAGATTTATGATTAAGAGCATCTCTAATATATTACTCTATGTTTTCACTTCAAAATGGTGTAATTTTAAAATAGAGTAAGGTTTTACTCCAATGTATTACTCTATTTTTATTCCAAAAAATATTTTCAAATAAAATTGTTTAGTTATTAATTGTTAGTAATATCTTCAACTTTTAAAAAATTTAACTATTAACCCAACTATTAAAACTTTTATAAAAATATATTTTATTTAAATTAAACATTTATCTAATAAAAGTTACAATAACTCAATATATATATATATATAAGATACCATGTTTTGTTTTATTAATGAACATTAATAATGAGATTCTTTATCTTTAATTTTGCTAAATCGAACAAGAAAATTATGAAATAAGACATTTTTCTTGTATGTAATTTTAATATCTACAGGTAACGGTTCTCCCACAACTTCGATTGGTGCAATTTTCATCATATGAAATTTTCCTAATTCAATATCAAAATTATGCATTAAAATAATATAACAAAGAGAAAAAAATGTTTTGTAAATTGAATTTCATATAGGATCTAAATATTTTTGCTTCTACCAAGTTCAACAAGTACAAATTGTATCAAATCAATTTTTTGATCCACAAGATAAACAAACTCATCTTGTCAATTTGAACAATACTTCACTAATCTTGATAGTTCTAAAAGTAATTTATCAGATTATTAAATTATGCCTATTTGTAAAGTTATTAAATATTATTTTGTGTAATGTCACATTTTGATGTTATTACAAAATTTTAGTATGAAATAAAAATATTCAAACTAAACTGGATCATTCCATAAATAAATAAAATTCAAAGGATATAATTATTCCATAAATTGAGTAGCCCTAACTAATATTCCATTATAGGGTTATATAGAATGAGGTTGATGAAGATTTTACTCTAAAATAGAATAAGACTGAAGATGTCTGAAAGAAAAGAGAGTGAGGTTTTACATATAAGTAAGAGAAATAATAAAAAAGACCTTTGACCAAACGGTTTTAAACAAATTCCTAATACAAATACAAATTGTATCAAATCAAAATTTTGATCCACGAGATAAACAAACTCATTTTGTCAATTTGAACAAAACTTCACTAATCTTGATAGTTCTAAAAGTAATTTATCTGATTATTAAATTATGGATTTTATATTATATTTTGTATTATGCCTATTTGTAAAGTTATTAAATATTATTTTGTGTAATATAACATTTTTATGTTATTAGAACATTTTAATATGAAATAAAAATATTCAAACTAAACTGGATTGTTCTATAAATAAATAAAATTTAAAGGGTATATGATTATTCCATAAATTGAATAGTCCTAACCAATACTCCATTATAGGGTTATATAGAGGTTGATGAAGGTTTTACTCTAAAATAGAATAGGACCGAAGATATCTTAAAAGAAGAGAGTAAGGTTTCACATTTAAGTAAGAGAAATAATAAAAATGACCTTTGACCAAACGCGTTTAACTTTTGAGTCCCACAATGATGTTCAGAAAAGCTCTGCCATCCACTAGCAGACTAGCTGTTTAGGAGAAAAAACTAATCTCTTTGCTTATCCACACATAATCATCCATTCAAGCAAAGCGATATACATCTACCTATGGGTTTTTTAATCATTCGAATATTTTATAGTCCTGAACCGCTGCAAGCTGTCAAAGAAACCAGTGTAAGTCTGAGGCCTGAGCCCCGATCAAGTTGGTTTTAAGTAACGCTACCATAGCATAGTATATGCTTTTATTTTGAGAATGCAAATGCTGTAACCCCCCCCCCCTCCCCCTAAGATATGTTATGATATGAAAATGTAATGTTCCAAGTAGTAATTGATGAGACCTTTTGGGCCACTGGTTGAATCTGCGAGATGTGTCATGTAATAATGAGACCACTAAAAACCAAAGCCCAAAGGATGTCTTTCTGCTGGAGAAATGAATAATAAAACCTTAACTATACAGCCAAACTACCAGACATCCAATAAACAAAACAATGCGATATAAGATTAACGAAAGTTAAATAACCAACCAATCATTAGAGACAAACATTCTAGTTATCTCTAGAAGACGATGTGAATCACATAATATTAATAATTCAAAATCAAACTAATATCAAACTTCAAACTGAAAGAGAGAGAGAATGCTTCTGATACACAAATCCAAAAAAACAAATATTGATGAAAACCAAAAACTTCTATTCTACACTTTTCTGTCTCTTATTCCTTATCATTGCCCTTAATTTCACCACTCCCACACTTATTTCCCTCCGTTACCTTCGCCTTCTTCCTGCTTTTTACTACATGTGAAAATATAGACAGAATACAAGAGAACATGAAGAAGCAGCTTAGGCAAAGAAGAAGCTGACTGAGACATTTTTGGGTCATTATTTTAATCTGTGGTATGTGTAATTTAATAATAATCAAACCAAACCATAGGATGTCTTCTGTCGGAGAAATGAATAAAAAAAAACTATACTGCCAACCACCAGACATCCAATAGAAATTAAAAAAGACCAACAAATGATAAAAGGGACAAACATTCTAATTATCTAATGGGAATCATATAATATTCTCAAGTCAAATTAATGTCAAACTTCAAACTTAGAGCATGAGAGGAGTGAGTTCATTCTGATACAAAAATCTAACAAAAATTAAAATAAAATAAAAAAGCAAACGATTTGATTCTTGATGATGATGAAAAGCCGAAACTTTAAACGCAAGGACTGTTTTAATACGGCGGTGGAGCTCCGGCGGCGGGCGGCCAGAGAACATCAGAACCATCAATGTGACAAGACTCTCCACCACCCCCTCCTCCAGACCCCGGCGACGACACTCCCCTCTCTCCCTTCACCTCCCCCGCCGAGGAGTTTTCTTCCTTCTCCTCCGCCGGTAACCGGTGATACGAAGGGTTGTTCAAACTCGCTGCCACGACGTAAACCGGTCCGGCGGAGATAAGCGGACCGGAGACGAATCCGCCGATGATCTGTCCCTGAGGTCCGGAGAGAGAGACGGTGAAGGAGTCGGGGACGGGAGGAGGGAGGAAAGTGGCGGAGAGGGAGAGGAGTTCGAACTCGCCGTGGAAAGTGATGGTGGAGCCAGGAGGAGCTCCTGCAGAGGAAGGCTGACGCAGAGTGACGTCAGCGACGGAGCCTGAGCCGCTGAGGACGCAGAGGCCGATGCCTCCTCTCTCGCGGCAGAAGCGGTTGATGGAGGCCACGACGTCGTTTCCGGAGGGGACTTGGAGGATGTAAGGACTCATGGGAGGGTCCAAGGTGAGGATGACCGGTGGTTTCGGTTTGTTTTTGGAGCCTTGTGGTCTGCCACGTGGACGTTGTCGCTGACGCTGAACGGCTTCCATTGATGCGGCGGCGGGTTGAGGAGGTTTGGGAGGAGGAGGGGAGAGCGTGTGTGTTGGTGTTTAGGGAACTTGGAGGTCCAATGTTTTTTTTTTTACCTTTTTGTAATTTTTTATTTGTGGTGAAATGGTGAAAAAGTTAAAGAGGAAGAAGGTGCAGGGTTTGTTGGTTAGTGTGTACAAAGACTAGTCGTTGTCTCGTAATGCCAATTGGTATTTTTTTAAAATTATATATAACCATAAAGTATTGCTTTTTTTTCTGTATCATGTGTTATTAATGTGTTCAAAATACCGTGCCATTTGTCACTACTCCCCTCCACGTACCTGTCCTTTCCTTTATAGCCATCCGAAGGCTACCACAGTCACTAGAATATTTGTAAATACTAATGAAACAGAGACGACCTTGAGAATGTAAACGTGTAACCAGAAGGAGAAGGCTAAGGAGTTTAATCAGGCATAAAGAGCCAACGTTGTCAAGTGTAACACCAACAAGAGAGAAACAAACTAATTGACTATAGACTCCTTTAAAAGATAGAATTTCTAAGAATCACAAAAGACAACATTTAGTCACAGCATTTTAATAATAGACAAGAAAAAAAAACTGTAAAGCTGTTTCAATCACATTCAGACTACACAATCAAATGCAACTGTTATTATCTCCATCCTTTTTTGGTTCAAGCTCTGTGTTTCTTGTTGGTACCGGAGCAAGTTGGACATTTGTAATGTTTGATGTGCTCAGCCCTTGCAGGTGTCATCTTCACGCATTTTCCATGGAACCATTTCTCACAAGTATCACACCATATCCAGAACTCCTCTTCTCCATCTTTTTCTCCACACACACCACAAAACTCTCCTTGCTCCTCCTCGTCTTCCTCCTCCTCTTCATCATCTCCGCTCTCATTTTCTTCTCTCGGTGGTGGTGGTGGCACCTTTGAAGGCTTAGTCTGAGATTCAGATTGGCGACCCTGCATGAGGAGAGAACGTTAGAACATAGATAGATAGATTAGACTGAGAATTTAAACAGAAGCTTGTTTAGTATACCTTGACACCACTAGACTTGCTTCTGCTACCGTTGTGACTATTAGCAGATTGATCCTTGGATTGCTTTGCATTTACAATCTCGTAAATGGTTGGGAGATCATTTATCATCTGGAACAGCCTCATCCTGAAACAAAATTCAATAACTCAAGAGGCAACACAACTACAAACTGTTTGATTCTAGAACAAGAACATAGAACAGTGAGAAAGAGAAGGAAGCTATACCTCTCATTCTTATCAAAGGAGAAACGTGCACCAAAGTAAAAGGCAACAGCGATGAGCCAAGAGTCAGAGTGAATAGCAACCAAAGAGATCCATTTTTTCTCAGGCATTCCCTCCCTTGAGAAGTTGATGCCAAGAGCTGGCTCAGGAAGCTCAGGAGGGACCTCGTCTACAGGAAGATTAACCTCCCATGACCCATTTGGTAGTCCATAGAGACACAAGTTTTCTTTGGCTACACACGTTATAAAAAAAAAAAAATCACCCTAAGAAACACAAACTTCATCATCTTTATGAGCAAAGATGTAGAAATTCACAAACACTTCAAAAATCCAATGAAACCAAAACTATCTGACGAGGAAGATAATGAAAGATCTACAACAACTGTAGATTAAAAAAAAACAAAGAAACAAGAGACCAGTGAGCAAACACACATTTAAAATCACAAACCAATCCCTAAATCAAGACCAGGAGGCGATTCTTCCACTGATGACATATAATAATCTCAATTACTTGAAAGATAAACACTTTATAAAATCAAGCAAGAGAAGAATCAACGAGGAGTCACACAGATATAACTCACCAGGGTCACATTCATGGAAAAACTTGCGTCGTTCTGCAAATACAAAACCCACAAAGAACAAATCATTAACAAACCCAGAATCGTCAAATCCGAGAAAAAAAAAAAAACAAGAACACAAAGAAGAAAAGGTGTAAACTTTATGCTCAGGAATGAAGAAAGAAACAAGCTTTAGATTCGAACAAAGTAAACAAAGATTCGAGAGAGAGATGGGAAGTGTTAACCAGTAGTGAGAGCCTTGATGAGACCAGCTCTTCGACCCTTAAAGTCACCAAACACATCTTCCGCAGCGCGTCCTTCCATATGCTCGGCGGTGAGAATGTATGGAGATGGAAGAGACAGAAACAACAAAAAAAGATCGGCTCTTTTTTTTTATTTTCCCTCTCTTTCAGGGAAACTCTGTATTTTGGATTCGGAGAGAGAGAGAGAGAGAGAGAGAGAGACTTTTATATATATATTGAGAAGAGGAGAGAGAACCCTAGAAACGAAAAGGAAAGACTATCCGGGGGCTATGTTGGATCAGATTTTAATATCTTTTCTTTTTCTTTGTATATTTAAATCTCTCTATATTAAATTCAATTTATTACTATTTGTCTTTTTTTGTTTTTTTAGTCTAGCTGACTAGTTCTATATTCCAATTTTTTATTGCATTAATTTCCATTTTTTAAAATCTTAAGTCAAAATTTTAAATATTAGTAGTATAATAAGTTAGTAATATAATAAAATTTTAAACAAAAAAATATTAAACCTTTGACTAAGAGGTTTCCAATCTGTAATCACAGTCAGAGTAAACCATCTCATGATCTTTCACTTGGTAAGTGAGTAATTATCTTATTTTGTTTTCTTAGAGAGGAGGTTAAGGTTTGAATCTTTTGTTGACCTCTGGCTTTTAGTTCTCTGATGTGAGAAATCTCAAAGTCTATTATGTTAGCATAGTCAGAACTGTTGTAATGACTGATTAAGACTTCTAATTATCAACCGGAATGTATCATTGGAAATAAAATTAAAGCACAAATGAAACCAACACTCTGTTTATTCATAAAGCCATATCTGCCTTTTATGTTTATACATATTTGAAGTCACATTCATCACATCTATTTTATAATAAGCCCCCTCCTACTTGTGAATTTCACCACTTCAACTTTGTCGGAAAGTACTGCCAACAATAAAACACCGATTATCACCGGCTGGTTAGATCACAAGAAAAACCAAAGTTTGCTTCAAATTTGAATATGAATATTTATATACCTTGTTGATTAGGGAGAGATAGTATGGTTTCACTTCTTCCACATTTATACGGACTTTGCTTTTGCTGTAGAGATCATACTTGTTGAACACTTTCAGCCACTTCATGTTCTCTCTGTCTTCATCGTTCATCAAATGCTTGTATGCTTCTGATTTGTGAAGAGCTATCAACACACACACACACACACACACAAAAAACAAACCATGAATAAGAACGTTTAGTTTGATAATAAGACTATATATTTCATATACCATAGAACGAGTGGTATCTGATAATGAAAAGACCAGCCGATGGTAATGTAGTTTTGTTCTCCTTAGCAACCTGTGAAACAGAGTCATGACTACATAAAACAAAGATTCTTACATAAACGTAAACAATTGTTGAGATTGTAGTTTGCTTACAAGGTACATGTAATCATCATGTCCCCAAGACATGAACACCTTGTCAAGCCCACAACCTTCTGTGTATATCCCGTACTTGGTGTTGTAACTCGGGTTATTGAAGTCTGGATTCTCCTTGAAGTACTGCATCAAGAAACATGGAATCAATTTTCAAATGTTGTAAAGTTTTCAAAGTGTATTAAAGAGAATCTCTATTCTTTTATATATATACCTTGTGGTGAACAATAGACTCATCAAAAGCACATCCCACTGGATATGTATCACCAACAACAGCCCACTGAGGAAGCTCACCAAATGAAGTGTGGAGAAGAACTTTTCCAAGATCTGATTCACACACACAAACCCAAAAAGAAATCATTACAAAACGGTAACAAATGGTTTAATATGCTATCAATAAAGTTTACCATGGATAAGACCGGTCAAATGGAGCCAGTCTTCATCAGGGTAATCTTTTCTGATGGCTTCAGCTGTCTGAAGCAAATGTTCAATCTGAGGCTCGTCCAAATCAGGATCACTCTCGTCAACAAACTCATTGAGAAGCTCACAACATTCCCAAATGCTCATCTCGGTTCGGTTTAGCTTCCCGTATTCCTCTCTCATCCTCCTAACGAAGTCAACGGTTTGGCCAATATGATTGGTTTTGTAGAACTCCTCCACACTTCTCCTCCTCTCACTTTGAGCATCATAATCCCTTTTTTTATATATGACAACAAGAATTTTTAATCTTGTAAAATATAGACCTAGATAATAATAATAATAATAAAAAATGAAAATATTCCAAGAGAGAAACTTACCTGAAGGTGTGACCAAAAGAGTTTGTGTGGGGAGCCACAAAACCTCCATCTAACACCAACTCTGTTTCTTCCTCTGTTACATTCTTCTCAACAATATCATCCCCTGCATCTTCATAAACGCAAATTTAATCATCAAAATTTGATCCAAGATCCCAAAACATAATCCAAAACAAACGTACACAAAAAGTAATAGAAACAGAAGTTTTATCTGAAATATATTCATTGCAAGATCTTTTTTTTTGGGTGCAAATGTTAAGATTCATTGCAAGATCTTATTAGAAGATCATTTCAAGACTAGAGAAGTAAAAAAAAAAAAGGGTGACGAACCATTGTGATCAGAGTGGTGATCGATGAGAATCGTCATGGAGATTTAGATCGAGAAACCAAAGGATGGGGATGAGAAATGAAGGTAGGGTTTGTTGTGTGATGACGGCGAGAGGAAGGAGAATATTGATGGTTTATATAGGAGAGAAGGGAGTCCTGAAGTGTGAATAAAGAAGGAAGTGAGCCCTTCGCCATGTTTTCAGAATCAGGACTCGTAAAGAGTCCTTCAATGGCAAAAAGTTCAAAATCTATCTCTCTTTATTAGGTTTAGTGTTCATGCAGGCAAACGAAACAGCTGTACTAAAAGTGGAGATGAGTTAAGACAATGACTTGGTGCGTTATTACAAAGTTTTTAATGATTTACTAGGTGATTTTCCCGTGAGCACGGGTATGAATATTTATAAAATAAAATTTTATAATAATTGATTGATATTTAGTTTTAGTTTTGAATCAATTTATATTAATAAATATTATATTATTCTAATTATACATATGACTTTGGATATTATTGTCATTTTAATTATTTTTAGGATCAATAGTCGGTTTGGTTATCAATTTGGTATATTGGATAATATCTATTTTTTGAATTCAGATATAATATTTTTTTATTCTAAATATAATACAACTTTCCTTAATTTTCTTATTTTCATTTCGGTTTGTTATTGTCTTAGATATGTAAATATATTCTTAGATATGTAAACATATTATAGTTAAATTAAGTATAACTTTATATATATTATGCCTAAAATAAAATAAATAATAAGCTGAAGTGTTTGATTCAAAATTACATAAATGAATATAATGATAATATTTTGAAGTCTCATGCATATATATAAATTCTACAAAAGAATTAAATTGTAATTGGTTAATATTTTCTTTTTCTTTTAAATATGCTTTGAGTCAACCTTTAATTTATATGTATAAAATTAAATAGATGATTATTATTATTATTATAAAATTATATGTTCTTATTCTAGTTAGATGTTTAACTTTGGATATAAATTAGATTAGTTGAGTCATTCATATTGTGAGTATATTGAGTTAAATATATTTTAAAAATTATAATTGAAGTATAATAACTTTTTATTTTAGTTAAGTCAAATCAAATTAGTTTTATTTATCGCTTAAATATGCATGTATTTTCATAATATTTATCAAATTATATGTTAATTTCTAAAAAATATTAGAAAATAAAGTGTAACTGATAAAATTTTGGATGTTCGTGAACATATATATATATTATTATTTTGAAATATATATTTTCTATTATTTAAAAATATATATTAATGGGGGTATTACTATTTTGTGACTTTCCTTTTTAATAAAGTCATGTTATATACATATATTTACGTTTTAAACTTTCTTTTAAATTTTAGAAATATTTCTTTTTTTTTGTTTTAGTTAAGTCAAATCAAATAACTTTATTTATTTTCATAATATTTATTTACTCCTTATTTTAGTTAAGTCAAATCAAATTAGTTTTATTTATCGCTTAAATATACATGTATTTTCATAATATTTATCAAATTATATGTTAATTTCTAAAAAATATTAGAAAATAAAGTGTAACTGATAAATTTTTGGATGTTCGTGAACATATATATATTTTATTATTTTGAAAATATATTTTATGTTATTTAAAAATATATACTAATGGGGGTATTACTATTTTGTGACTTTCCTTTTTAATAAAGTCATGTTATATACACATATTTTCGTTTTAAAATTTGTTTTAAAATTTTAGAAATATTTACTTTTTATTATATATGTTATTTGGTAAAAGGGTAAAAAAGAAACTAAATAAAAAAATTAATAATAATCTTAAAATCTAACAATTCATTAAGGGTATCTATGTAATCAACCATCGCGAGAGTTAACGTGAGCGCGACACGTAGGAAACTGACTTCTCAAATAATATTATAGAGATTTGTACATTTGTCAGATTTTAGTGATAAACTAACAAACTTTTACATTTTTGTTTTTAACAACTTTATTATTTTCGAGTATTTTGAAGTTAACAAAAAAAAGTTTGATTTGAAGTATAAATAAATTAGGTTTATTAAAAGAGGTAGTAATAAACCTAACTAGTCCAAAGAAGACCTATAATAAAACATCTATAAATTAATATTCTATAAATTAATAATTACTATAAATTAATAAATTTTATCGATCTCAATTCAAACCAGTTCAAAAATTTGACACAAATCGATAAAATAATAAGATAATATTTTTAAAAAAAATCTATGTAAATATATAGTTTTATTAAAATTATAAATTAATAATTTCTATGTATACATATTTTATATAAGTAAAAACCTATCGTTATATTGTTTGTTTAAGATATTTTTGATAAGATTTAGTAATATATATCTATAATCACATTAATTTCATGTAATATATATTATATATACTAAATAATATAATATAATTAATATAAATGTCAATTTTCAAAAAATAATAATTAATATTTATTCATTAAAATAAAATATATTTGTATCTTAGTATAAATCTATCTGGTTGCCAAAAAAGAAGAATAAATATATTTTAAAATAAAAAATCTAAATAATTTCTTTTTTCTAAATTAATAAAATTTCAAAATCTAAACATTATTAGTTTATAGAGGTTTTAATGTGTATATGTTATTAAACCAAATCATAAGAAAACAAAGTGATAACTAAATCGTTCCGTGATTCTGTAATCTTAGCTTAGTTAATAATTAAATAGATGTTAAAACGTGTTACAAAAAAAATAAAATAAGATGTTAAAACATAGAAGTTTCTTGTTTTGTGACATAAAGGGCCTAAAATGTAACAAATCTTCTGATATATATTTCCTCTTTGTTTAAAAAACTTTTATAAAACAACGTGTATCAAACGTGAACCATAAAAAGATTACTAAATAAGAACGTGAACTGTAAAAAGACTATTTCCAATAGAGATTCTATTCCATTAAAATTTTAAAATGATATATGTGTATATATGAATTATATATATGTATATAATTATAGGGTCCACTATATAGTGTGTATAACTCTATCCAAAAATTTTTAAAACAAAAAAGGTTAAAATTTTTGGATAAGATTCTAAACTATTTATTAGATTCTATAACTATATACATATATAATGCATATATATACATATATATATGATTTTAGAACTCTAATAGGATAGAATCCCGTTAGAGATGGTGTTATCGCTCTAACACGTAGGAGCCGCAGGAAAAAGAAGAAGCTATCTCTTGCTAGTTGTCTTTATATAGATAGTTTTGTCTTCATACCATATCGCACCGTCATTTTCTTGAGAAACGCGATGAGGTCTGTTTCTTATGAGTCCTTGGAACGGTAAGAGCATCTCCAATGTATTACTCCATTTTCTACTCTAAAATGGAGTAACTCCAAAATGCAGTTGAGTTTTACTCCAATGTATTACTCCATTTTCTACTCCAAAAGAATATTTTTAATATTATATTTATTTCAAAATTAGGAATATAACCTTTCATTTATACTATTTGCAAAACAGTCCATTTTAAATTTATAGCATTTCTATTAAATACAATATTAATCGCAATTAAATTTTTATTATATAAATAAAACTACTCAACAAGATTTTAAAAGAATACATTTAATACATTAAAAATTACATTATATAGCTTAAACACAATAATACATCAATTCTAAATTATTCATTAGAATTATAATAATTTTCCCACAAATGATCAACTAATGCATTTCGAAGTAAAAAATGAGCTTCTTTATCTTTGATTTCTCTGAAATGGGAAAAAAACTTTTGGAACCTCACATTATTATTTTCTTCAATTTCAATTTTACTTGACAGGACTTCTCTTTTAACTTCAATTGGCACCTTGAGATCACAATC